ATGTTGTAAAGGGATTAGTACTCAAAGCAAAATGATTTGCAAGACTGCCCTTTGAAAAGGTTCAGTTTTGTAGTTATTCTCTCCACCATGAATGAAACGAAAACATAAAAGCAATACTTAGATTCAGTCATCCAGAAATGAGTATTATATCTGAGTTGCTATTGGAATGAAAACGGGAAATCCCTTGGGAACTTATTGTCTGTAGGGGAAGGTTTTTGGTGAGGGGGCACAATTGACTGAAAATTAAGTGATTTTAAGTCCTATTGCTTTCAGTGGCGAATGATGCCTAACTCTCCTACTGGAATGAATGTGCTTTGATTTGTTATTTTTCTGTGGGCTTAAAAATTGACATTTGACACAGTTTCATGGAAGGCCTAGAGCAGGGGTCATCAAATTTTTTGAGCCAGTGAGCTCATTTTGAATTAACAGAAAATGTTGTGGGTGCCTGTCACAAAATGGCTAAAAGAGCAGAAACAAGATAGGACTACAAAATCATGTGGTTGTGTGCCACACTATCAGCCACTGATCATAGTGGGAAAGGCAGCTATTGCCTTGGGTCACAAAATCCCGAATGACTAGAAGATGGGGCAGAAGTTGCTGCTGGATGAGCTGTCAGAGACGGAGGGCATGGAGGATGCCCTTAGTGGGGAGCAGCCCAAGGGTGTTGACAGAGGCAATAGGAGAGAGCATCAAAGAAGGCTGGGCAGCTGGCAAAGGAGAAGGCCACAGGGTGACCTCTTTCCCATCACCACGAATGTTGTGCTGCCTTTGCCATTGGATACAAACCCATGCCCCCCAGGGAAGCCTGCTCCTCCAAGGAAATCAGTCTTGCAGGGAAGTTCTTGTGAGTGAGCAAGATGCATCTTTAAAGGCTGGTGGGAGGAGCATGCCTGTTTGTCAATACATCTTTGCAGCTCTTGTCCAGTCTTGGACCCTTGATGCTGCTCTTGATCTGTCTAGCCATGCCTTTGGCATTCTGCACCTGAAGCCTGACCTGAACTATTGCTAGCCTAGAATAAAGATTTCTTCCTGCTCACATGCAAGAGTTTCAGTTGTGGAGTTCAGGGCAGAAACCAAGAGACCACATCAGCTACTACCACATTTTCTTACAGAGATAAGTGTTTTTCTTATGTTCAGAATGGATAAAAGGATTGGTGTCCAATCCCAGCACACAATGAAATGTGGGCTTCTTTAAGAGTATGCATTCAGTGGAGGAAGGCTGAGTCATTATACAATGACATTATGTACCAAAAACATGTTATTGACACATTTATCAATGAGACGTGCAAAAAAAAAAACCCACATTAATGAGAAATGGCAACATATTTGCATCTATTTTAGAAATGCTGACTTCTGCTGTTCTAAGTGACTTTTGACCTAGGTTAATACTCCAAGGAAAATTAAATACTTTTTCCTTGTCTTCTATAAGTTTTGGATTAATCATCTTTTTCCTTTGTATCTGCCTAGAGCTGGATTTTACTGTTAAGGGACTCAGAGTTTTGCTTTTCTCCTTCCTGTTAATGCTCCCACTGCTAATATGAACTGCCCTGTAAAATTCTGCCTGGCATATAGCCAGAGATGAAATGTACCAGAACAGAAGGAAATCCACCCTGACTTTAGTGAGGAGATGAGCAGCACAACTGATGCTGTAGAAATAGGCATCCATCAAACCATGTAGTTTGAGCTATCAACATTATATTCTAATCAGCCAGTTGATGAGTGATTCCTTCTAAAGTAAAGATTCCCCAGTTGTCTTCTCTGGCAAATGCATCTTTATGGAATTTAGAATAAAGCTTTTCAATTCCATGAGATTTTACAGGAAATGTTAAATAAAGAGCCTAAGTGCACATTGCCTTGTTGTCTGAAGTGTTTGTGTTTGTTCTAAAAATCTCAGTCATGGAAAACTTGTTTTGCGTATTGTACAGGTCTTGGCACACAAGTCTTGCATGTTGTTTGATCAAATATTTATTTCTCTCTGGATGGTTTTCATAATTTTATGGTACTTTCCTATGTGAGCCAAAATGTATACGCCTTGAACGTGTCCTCTGTGTCTCAAGACAGATCTAAGGTCTGTGCTTTTCAAAACTGTTGAAAAGTCCAGAGTTCATGGGGAAATAGAATGTTCTTTAAAATAAAGTGATTTTCTTAAGTTCACACAGCTTCAGGGAGGAGCAAAGTACAAAACAGCAAAGTAAAAACCATTCTCTTCATGTTAGATGATTTAAGGAGCACATGCAGCGTTTTTGGAGAGGGAGAGCAAGTTAGAAGATATATGAGAGTAATGATCTGTTGCAAGAATTTGTTTGAGAATGTAATCCTGTTTAATTTTACATTTGCTTTCATGTTTCTCAATTACTTCCTTGTACATCTAGCCCAAAAATTACATTTCCAATAAACAAAGGGCCAGACCTAATACACAAGAGAGTTCACTAATGGAAGCATGTGAGACCAGTGACAGGCTTGCCTAACTGGGATTTGATGTATAGAGGAGACTTTGTGTGAGCTATCAGCTCTGCACAATGCCTATAAACAACTCAAAAGAAATGCCTACTCTGGTTATGAAAATAATACTGGTCAGAGAACAGCTCCCTTGTGGGGGGTGCCAGTTCCCCTAAATTAATTGAGTTAAAGGCTCATCTAACCTATTTTTCAAATCTCCCAGGAATAGATGCTGTACATCAACCCAGGCAACTTGTTCTAGTACTCCAATTTTATGCTGTGTTTTGCAAAATAACACAAGCTCAGTAGTGGGGGAAATCAGTATAATATTTTACAATGTGCATAAAATCACAGGCTCAGTATTTCTTTTAAAAATTATGCTGCTTTTAAAAGTGAAAATCTTCTCAAAACAATTAACAACAACATATACATAAATAATTAACTAAAACAACAGCATTACAACAACATTTCCAGATCAACATTAAAATGTCAATAATAGTTACAATCTTAACTTAAAAAAATATAAAACCAGCATCAACTGAAAGCAGATTAGACTACCCAAATCATTAAGGGTTCCTCCGGATCACCTGTTTATTGAGCGTTCATATTGATTGGCTTGCACAAAGCTTGCAAAGTGGTTAGACTATGTCCGGTTGAGCATTCATCCTGATTGGCTTGTGGAGTGTTTGCACATCCTCCTGTTAATCATTCATTGTTCCCACACTTTTCAGTGCATTTTCCCATCACTTTCCAACTGTATTCTTTTTGCACTAGGGTGACGAAACACTTTAATCCACTTTAATGGTTCAAACTTGATGAGCAGTTTAGGATGCAGCTGATCTCTGGCTGAACTCAGCTCAGCCAGGCTCAGTCAGAAATACGTCCTAAACCCCAGCCCAGGATCACTCCCTCAGTGTTAAGATCTTTTAAAAACTATTATGACATAAGCAGAGATCCAGTACCTCCCTTACACTTGCAGATATGCAGTGAGGTTAACAGTGCAATTGGTGTATTTGAAGAGAATGGTGATGCTGATACTGTGCTGGTTCTCAGCAAGCCAAACAGGGATAAATCAGGAACTGGCACCTGCTGGCCAATCTTAAGGCACGCCAAAGCAACAACAGCAACCACACTTCATGAAACAAATCAGATTTCGCTATTTGTCTCTAGTCATCAGACCATCACAAAACCAGAGCTTAACAAAGTGAACTTACATATCTATATGAAAGTAACACAAGTTAACATAGATAAGGCTGACACAGACCCAAATGAAACCATGTTCAACAAAACAAACTTTAAATTCTGAACGTTCCAGATATATTGCATTTACCCTTGGGTTTGAATTAGTGTTAAAAGAAATCAAACTTACACAAACCTGAATAAAATTATGTAAAACCTGAAATAAATAGAAACATAAATATACTTAAAATTCTGAATCTCCCTGGCAACATAGAGCATTCTTCCTAAACATTTACCCATTGTCAATTACTGCAGATACAAAACATGTAGTTGTTTCAAGTTACATATTTATCTCTATAACACAGCAGATAAATTACAGCCCCATGGACCGATCTCTCCACATATCTCCCTAAAGTATGTGCCAAGCTTTATTCCCTCAGCACATGATACTAAGGAAAATATATAACAATATGTACCGTGGTTGTGGTTATCCAAAGCAGCTGAAAAATCAAGGCGAATCAACAGTCGTGCTCTGCTGGTGTTCTCCTGACACAGGTCATCTTACAGGGAAACCAAGGCACTTTCTGTATCAATACTGGGCTTGAATCATGACTGAAGTGGGTCTAGAATATCAGTCTTCTCCAAGGGTATGTGGCCTCTACAGAATCTCCAATTGTTTGGGAGAAATTTACAGATTAAGTTACACCACAAGTGCACATGTGTATGCTCTTATGTACATGTGTGGCACCTCTAAGGAAAAGGGCAAAATCTGTAGAAGTGGCTGTCCCAGATCTGCAATTCAAATATTAGTGTGTCCTTCAGAAACATGGAATCCATTGCTGAGACAAGGAAGTCTACAAATAAAGCAGTTATATGTGTAGTTTTAGTGGACAGATGACAGGGACCTCAAGCATACATGTCTGCTGTGTGTTTTGAGATATTTACAAACGCTATTTTCTGCTTCACATTTTACAGTGTACACTTGCAAGACTGTGCATATACGTTAGTATTTTGGTTTGCAAATAAGCACAGTACAGTGCAAATCTACCTTGAGTGTGGTATGAGGATATGTAACACGTAGGCATTTATTAAAAGTAACACAAAGGAGAGTGTATAATTGCCCCCCTCCCATTTGTGAGATTTATTCTCTGTAAAATGATAGGGATTTACTCATACGTTGCACAAGTGAGGGCAGGGAGATGTTAGTACAGCTTAGTGGTAGACAAGGGCAACCAGAAAAATGTTTTATATTGGCTTAATGCCATTGTATTAAAAGAAATGTGTTGTGGTATTAGTTTTGATAAAGCCTGGCCAATAGGAATTTCTTTTCCATTTAGTGTGGAGTGGCTTTAATGCTGGAAATAAGCCTGTTGGCCGGCCCCCAGAGCCGTGCAGATGAGAAAAAGATGCAGGAAATTCTCTTGTTTACTCCTGTCTGTAACACTGAGAAGCAAGAACAGCTCCTCAAACCCACAGGGTAAGGGGTGTTTGTCTCTTTATATCTCTTTTTTAAAAACTGATGTTGTCAGTTGTTTGTGACAGAAATGAAGAGAAGATAGGAGAGTGGTGCAAGTGAGGGAGAAGATTTTGAATGTATTATTAAACTGGACTTAACTAGATTTCATCTCCCATTTGTTTCAGCTCTCTTGGTAATAACTTTTATGGCATTATATTAAATTATTTTTAATGTTTAAAATTTGAAGCATGCTCAATTACTCTCAGTGTTTATTTAATGTGCCTGGCAAAATTTTCATCCCTTTTATGTTTTAGGTATTAAGTACTTAATGTTTATGCACAGGCAATAGCAACCTAGAATGCTATAAATGTATATATAACAAAATATGTCACACAGTTCTTTTTACCTCCGTTGAGTAGAAAAAAGTGTTAGCATGTAGGATAGCTTATGATATTCAATGAATGTTGCTCATATTCTGATCTCTTTGGACTCTGGCACTTTGTTAGGACACCGTGCAGGCAGGATGTTTTTAGCTTAAAATGTGCAGCATGTAATTCTAAAAATCCTGATGGTCTTTTGAAAAATTACTATAGGCAGACTGTTTCTCTGTTTTTTAAAATTGTTTCCTTTTTAAAAAGGCTGGTTTCAGCAATTCAAAACAACAACAAACAAACAAACAAAACAAAACAACACGCTCACCTGACTGTGAGTAGAAAGGGTTGCTGTTTGCTTTTGGATCTTTGAGAATAAGCTGTTGACACCAGGAGGCAAATGATAGCTAGCAAAAGTTACCATTGATGCCGCATAATAGAAATTTGGTTTACCTTGATATAGTAGGGCAGAATTGCAAAGCAGAGGCAAAGGCTGTTTCCTGAAAGTTTCAAATGTCCCTGCTGATGTAGTGCAACACAATTAAATTGATGCAATAACATGAACAGAGCTATCGCCCCGAACTGAATGAGAATACATCTGTTGGTGGCATCAGCAAAAGTCTGACCAGGAAATTCCTTCAGTGACACTCTCCCACAATATATTCCATATTATCCATAAACCATTTGGGCCATATTGCAAGTTCTTTCAGATTTTCAGAGGCAGCCGTACTCTTTCCTCAAATCCTAGGTTGATAGATAATTTGTCATTTACATGCCTGTTGGGAAAATGCAGTGCTCAAATAACCCTGTCTCATAAATCCTGAACCCCCTCACTTGGGGAGAAGGGCAGGGGGAGAGCAGCAGCCCAGTTTCAAAGATCTTACATTGCTTTTTAGGTTTTGCAAGCTTCCAGGAAAGAGGAGTTTCGCAATATTCTGGAGCAGCTGTAGAGAACATGTCTCACATTCTCAGATTTAGTAAATGGATGCCATTATCATGTCCTCGGAGAACAGTAAAAGCCCCGGTGGTTGTCAAGCGATGATGAAATCTTTTTGATACGTTGCAAATAAATAAATATTTATAGGGGAAGATCAGATCCATAGCTTATGCCAAGACAAATATTGGAAGGCACTGCTGGGTCTGGAACACAGCTTCACTGCCTTCCTAGCAAATTACCATTTCGATAGGAGGATTTGACTGATTATTCAGTGCATACAGTGTGCTGTACAACCATATTAAGGGCAAAAAAAAAAAACATAGTGGAAATGGATGCATATGGGGTCCCCCCATAAGATGATGGCCATAACTTGCTCTAGAGGTTTCAGGGCACTTGATACCAGATCACTGCTGCAGAGTTCTTTTGTCTGCAGATGATACTGTAGTACACTAATGTGCTGTTTTCCTTGGAAGATGGATTGGGACAGAGGCTGCCTGGCTCACTGGTTGCTCATTTTTTTTCTTTTAAATTGGTTGCCTTTCTCCATACCATCATGTGTTGGAGGGGGGCCTGGTAGGAAATTTAGTCCAAGATGATTCTTGATGCAGAAAACTCTAAGCAGAACGGCCCCAACAAATGGCGCTCCAGCCTGTGATCTCCAGTAAGGATCCCAGATCATCAGAGTGTGTGGGCCAAATAACTGGGCGATTTGGGTGGGATCTTCTCTCCCCTTTTGAGTTGAAGCCACCTCGTGTCAGATCAGGGCTCCCACAAGAGGTCTCTTTTGCCTTGTTTCTCTGACCTTCACCATGTCTATGTTTTCTTCTATCTGATGTTTCTCCGGCTCCCTGAGTTTTGCAAGAAGTGAACTTTCTTGTCTGTGAAGCATTGAAGAGTTCTGGATTTTTATTTTCTTAAAGCACAGAAGCAGGTTTTTTTAAAAAAAAGAGTTAGAAGCTTCATTTGAGGTATTTTTGTTTTGTTTTTTAAAGAAGAATCTATGTTGCTCTGCATTAACCAAACAAACCTAGAGCTCTTCAGAACTCTGCAGGGAACACGTTTGACAGACTCATGTTGTAAGGCATATCAGCAGACACACACAAGCACCAGAAAATCAGAACTGGCTGGTGGAACGGTAACTCAGAAATTCAGTTGCATATATATTCTGCACTTCTGGTATCACAAACAACAAAAATGGTATAGCACTGTAAAAATACTGAAGACGGATTTCCAGGGTGTGAATAGGAAATTTATCCTGTATTGTACACATATCAAAATAATGAAATAACTCCTCTTTTTATATATGAAGCCCAAGCAGTTGTGTTTCACACATCTGTTTTACCCAACACTTTTGATTTACTGCCAGGACTATTTCATCTCACTGTAGCTGTAAGCATATGTCTCAGTACATTTCCCTTTTCGGGTAGAGCATATGATTTAAAATGCAGTACTCGACCTGCTAGTTACTTAACAGAATGTCACTTCTTCATGCAATCACTTTCCCTTAACGCATCAAATTATTTACTGTTGATGAACCTGTCTTCTGCTAATCAGACTTGACACCATGTTGAACGACATATTTGAAAGGAAGGAAAACTCACTGCATTTATATTTGAGTTGGAGGTTGGAAAAAGTCCTCTCTGTAGAGAAAAAAGCTGTGTGGAGGAAAATGGTGTATGTTAGTGTCCAAGTTCAGTCTGGTTTTGATCGGTGGAAGAGTTCGTCGTAATTGGAGAAGGTGCGAGGAACAGTACAACTACTTCCGATATCTGATTTGGACTGACCTCTTATATGACTGTAGGCCAGCATACAGGCCTGGTTTTTGTAGGGCAGTTTTTCTCTTGCTTTACCTTTGTTTAACCTTTAATAATTGCCGGTGATGTAAGAAAACAGTTATTTCTGAAATCTTTTGCTCAGCTGGCCTGTGATGAAAATGTATTTTTGCTATGTAGTGCCAACAAAATGGCATTATCGTTACATATGCTTGGAATGGGTCACCTGGAAAAGTATAATGGGGGAAAGCAGATGTGAGTTTCAGACTAATATTTCCCCACACTGAATATGAGATGCTAAACAAACAAAAATGGTATCTTGATCCAGCAATATAGAATAGGATCCAAAACAGTCGTGAAATCTGGTTCCATATTTTGGTGGAATTTCCATTGGATTCAGTGGACCCTTTCCCCAAATAAGTGATCATAGGATTGCAGTTTTACTTCCATAAACCTTTTCTACAAATCTATGCTTAGAACTTGGGTTGGATAGAAAGTGAAGCTTGAAGAGTTAGTTAGCTTAGTTTTTCTCTGAGTAAACCCATTGAAATGGATATATTTAGGTTCATTAATTCCAATGAGTCTGCTCTATATTAAACCTTAGTTTGCATACAAGTCGTTGTCCCAAGAGGAGAGGGAATAACTCTAGGCAAGTGATATCTAGCTTGGGGGGCTCATTTCACAAACCTAATGATATGCAGATTGATTCTATATTAGATTTGTAATAGATTGAGAATTTTCAAGTCCTAGTGGCTTACCAGATGTTCCTTTTAATGCTTACAGGTTTCCAATTTCAGATAATATCAGAATTAGTTTAATTCAATAACAAGTTGCTGGATGAACACGAGCCATTTACCTCCTGCCAGCTGTATATTCTCTCTAATTCACTTATAGTTGCCTCCCCCTGAAAAAATATTTTTTTTCCTTTACTTTCTTGCCCTAAAAAAAATAAAAATAAACAAACTATGGGTGACAGCCAACCCCCCAAGTGGCTTCTTTCGAAAGCAGCTTGTGCATAATACATTCAGATATAGATGCTGTTGGATTCATATTTCAGAAAATTTCTGAACACTACCTGTTTTCAGAAGGATTCTGCCATGCAAATGTTTCCTTTTGAGAGTGAACTTTAGTAATTTTTTCTATTATACTTCCTTCAAAGAGCTCCAAGTGGCTTACAGGTGACTCCCAGGTAGTCTTTCATTGAGGCATTTGAAATGGTGAGACCAGCTTCAGCCTGAGAACTGTGTCACGTATCTTCAAATCCCTTTATCTAATACCCTACCACAAAGGGGCTGGACCTTTTGTAGCCTGGGGGCCACTTTCTCTCTCTCATGGAACCCTCTGGGAGGTCATATGCTAGCGGTGGGTTGGGCAAGGACCAAAAGTAGATGGATCAGTAGGTGTGGCACTTGTACAGCCGGCCATATTCCAGCCGTGTAAAAGTCAGAGGTTCCTCCACCTACAGACACATATTTCTCCATTGAGGAAAGCAAGAGGTATGACCACAGTTCAAGGACACAATCCAGTCAAGCAAAAACACTTGTGATAGCAGAACAGGGCTGCTAAGAGGAGAGTTGTGGATAGGTGGTGTCGTCTAAGGAGGTCACATGGTCCAATGAGAGTCCCGAGGGCCAGATACAATATTCTGGAGGGCTACTTTTGGCCCCAGGCCTGAGTTTCCCTACTTCTGCTGAGCCATAATAAAGCCTATGTTCATGTAAATGTGATAAACACTTGTTCTTTTGTCAGTCTACATCTGTCTGCAACTTTTTCTTCCCTGCACTGAATGTTAGTTTCTAAGCTACTCAGGTCAGGGGCCTTTTATTTAATACTTTGTAAAGTGTCGCCAAGCTTGATGATTTATTTAGCACAGAGAAGGGTTCAGTCCCAAACCCACTGATGAGGGATTAATCCTCATTGTTCAAAATGGAACTTTCCTTTCTGAGAAAAGATTGCACTGTAAATCTAATTAAGAACAGTCTTTTGTTTTTAGAATAAATTAGATTTTATTGTGCTATGATGCTCTGTTTTACAACACACACACCCTGATTACATACCATGCCTATCTAAACATGTGTTATTAAGTTAAATGGGAAGGGAGACAGCTCTCCAAACAGGAGAATTGACCGGGCTTCTTCCTCCCAGTACTTTTTACCTTCCCTTTACTTACATTATGGAAACAACAGCAAGAAGGGTTTTCTTCCCTCATCCCTTCTCTTTAGTCCTTCATCAAAGTTGTCATTGTTCACATAAATGAAGGAAAGATATGAATTTAATGGAAATAGATATACAAATAAATTAGTCATATTTGCAAGATAATCAACTAGACATTTTAAACTACTTACGATCGTATCCTAACAGGAAATGCATTTGATGGTTAAATTATGAAACAATTAGGAATATTTTGACTAGTACCTAATTTATTTAAGTCTCGTATTTGCAAGTAATTACAGTATAAATATGGAAAGTGAAATATATAAAGTCTTTATATATTGAATGTATTAAATCTCAGAAGTCTTCTCTATTACAGCTTCCAAGTCTTCTGGAAATAATTACAATTTTATGCCTGGTTTGAGAAGAAATATGAAGGATAGACAACAGCCTTCAATCTAGTAGTTCAGGACTGAGAAGACCTGAATAATGAAAATATATTTCCTGTTTGCAGAATGCATTCTGTAGTCCATCTGGTTCTGCTGAAAGAATGCTAATATAATATTATTTCCATAGTTTCAAAACATGCTGGCAGTTCTGTTATTTTGTTGTATAGAATGTGAGAGCACAATACACCCTGGATTATTCACACCACAGTTGATTTGGGGAATGGTGCTCAACAGGAATCAGTTTGGAACCAGTGTCCCAACATGAAACAGAGTATGTGACTGTTGGACAACTTGCAAGAAAGCTAGCTCTGTGATTTTTAGCCAGTGGTAGAGAGACCACCAGTGATCTGTGCTGTATTTTCACATGGTCACTGTGCCCATTGCAGGAGAGCTGGGAGGATAGAGGGGAAAGGTAAAGTGTCAAAGATTTCTTTAACATTCCATCTTATATCACTAGGACTGTAAATTAAAAAGCAGTTGTCTCTCCAACTATACATGTGGCTGCAGTTAAAATGTCAAAGAAACCTCTTATTTTATTTGTTTGCTTATTAGTTTCATTTCTGAACTGCCCTTCATCCCATAAACATAATATACAGTAAAACCTAAAACCACCACTAGAACATTATACAGAGCAGAATTATTCCAAGTAATTCAGTAATCACTCTAGTGTTCTGTTCTCTTCCATTCATGTCTATAGCTCATATATCTATATACAGTGGTACCTCGGGTTACAGACGCTTCAGGTTACAGACATCAGGTTACAGACTCCGCTAACCCAGAAATAGTACCTCAGGTTAAGAACTTTGCTTCAGGATGAGAACAGAAATTGAGTGGCGGTGGCGGGAGGCCACATTAGCTAAAGTGGTACCTCAGGTTAAGAACAGTTTCAGGTTAAGAACGGACCTCCAGAACGAATTAAGTTCTTAACCTGAGGTACCACTGTCTAACACATCACATCAAAATGTAGAAGTTGAATTTCAATTTTGAACTTTTCAAACATCTATCTGTGTGGTGACTTTAAGGCAAGAAAATGCCGTAGACTGCCAAAAATACGCTAGAATAGCTGGGAGACAATGCTAGAAAGCTGCATGACCCTGGCCTCATGGCCACAGCAGTCCAGTCCAGGTAAACAACTTCAACACTGTTTAACTGTTCCCCACCACACTATGGTTTAAGAACTACTGATCTAGCTTTCTGGAAGCATGGTGGACACAAAGACCATTTGGGGGGCAAGCGGATGATCCTGCTCAATAGCAATACACCTAGGATTGTATCCAACGAAGTTGTCCCATTAGTGCAGAGACTTCCTCCTCTTCCTGTGCCCCACCTTCAGCCCCGACTGAATTGAGATTTACTGAATGACCGGCTTGGGGCTGGAACCAAACCTTGTCAACAATGTGTACCCCTAGTATTTTTCAATATACCTAATATGTGACTTTCTCACACAAAATGGACAGAACAGGCACAGCAGAAAGATATTTAAACAACATTTTGTAGGGGCACTTTGACCCCTAGCACCTTATAAGTATATTTTCCCCCAGTCATACCAGTGGGGCAGAATTGATCCCAAAAGCCCTAATAGTGAGCAACCAGCTATCTATGAAATGCTCACAAGCAGGACATGTGAATGCAACAGTCTTCTCCCACTTGTATATTCCTTGAGTCTAGGGACGATCCCTTCCTGTCTTTGAGCATGAGGCTTGGGGCCCCTTTGGGTCTGCATCACTTGAGAAGCTAGGACAAACCTTTCAAAAAATCTGAAGAAGTGTGCATGCACACAAAAGCTTATACCAGAACAAACTTAGTTGGTCTATAAGGTGCTACTGGACAATTTTTTATTATTTTTATTTTGACTTGCAAAAAAATGTAAGCATAAGATCAGACTAACAGTCCAATGGGAAAAGGGTGGCTAGAAAGAATTTGATATGGGAAGACCACATGTTAAAGAGAATGTATGGCCACTTCATTACCTCCCTCGTATCTCCAGTGCCATTTAATTAAAATATGTGCTGTGACAACATCATGCACAATATTTTCCCACTTCCCAAAAATGGAACCCAATGAAGCAGAGAAGCATAAGAAAATTCTGAATGCAGTAGCATCATACAATGCATTTTTTATCGATGTAAATCTTACTAAGGAAAAACTGCAGGACATCTCAGTTGGTGGTGACCTACCCATTGCTCCAAGGTACCCGGGTGGCGCTGTGGGTTAAACCACAGAGCCTAGGACTTGCCGATCAGAAGGTCGGCGGTTTGAATCCCCGTGACGGGGTGAGCTCCTGTTGCTTGGTCCCACCTCCTGCCCACCTAGCAGTTCAAAAGCATGAAGTGCAAGTAGATAAATAGGTACAGCTCCGGTGGGAAGGTAAACAGCGTTTCCATGCGCTGCTCTAGTTTGCCAAAAGTGGCTTAGTCATGCTGGCCACATGACCCGGAAGCTGTACGCCGGCTCCCTTGGCCAATAAAGTGAGATGAGCGCCGCAACCCCAGAGTCGGTCACGACTGGACCTAATGGTCAGGGGTCCCTTTACCTTTACTTTACCCATTGCTCCATAAGCTGTAGCTATACTTATGAACATCTTGAGCCCACAGTGTTATACACCCACTCTATATGCCTTTCGCTTGATAATAAATCTGATTCTAGCCATTTTGTTCTTAATGGGGGCCATGATGCTTCTTCATAACATCCCAATTAACAAGGAGAGCTAGTTAGAAGTAGTAAAAGGAGCAACCAGGCAAACACACTGTGTGCCTCAAAAGCCACAGATGGTTGATAAATTGGAACAAATGAATATTGGTTCCTTCACTTCTTGAAACACCATTAATCACACAGCTGAGAATAATTTTCTTAGATGCAATTCTAGAATTAAGTTCAGTTGGTGAAGTCTAGCAGTTGACGTCAGGTCTAGAGGCTGACAAGCTAGAGCTTTATAATTATATTCCATTCACTGAACACTGTTTTAATGGGTATGGTGATCTAGAATTTTTCAGCAAATGGATGCAGTAATTTAGTGCTGGGTAACAAATGTACATTCCAAATTGGACCTAACATTGAGCTCCCTCTTTTATGTTTTCATGTGCCCAGATGCAAGTGTGATGCTAAAAGTATCACAAGTTAGTAACAGGTTTTTTGGTTGTCTGGGCATGTGGCAAATTATTTCATGAACACAATTCACCATATGCAATTCAAACTAGGCTGAATGGTTTGAAAACCATTCCCAAAATGGCTCATACTGGGGCCATTATACTGGGGCCTGAGTACATATTAATTTCATGTATAAAACCTGTGCCTTTTGTCTCTACTTCACAAAGAGAAGGTAAGAGGTGGTATCACACAATCTCCTCATTTACCTTGTGCTGCAAGAGGAAGTCAGAATAAATGAAAAATATAAGTAAGTAGGTAGTTAGGTATCTATGTAATGAAATTCTCATGGCCTTTGGCTAGTCCAATAAACTGATTGATATATATTGAGAGAGAGAGATGTATAATATATATAGTTTTTGGATTTTATTAACTGTAAGCCACTTTGAGGCAAGAGTGGCAACCTATACATGCTATACTAATTGTAGTAATAAAAATACATCACCCTTTCATAGTTTGAAACAGTGTTAATCCTCTTTAAAATATTAGATTCTAAAAGCACTGGGAAATTGCCCCATTGTCTCTGTATATTTTTCTTTTTTAAAACAAAAACCAAAAACTGTATGCTGATGGATTTCCATTTATTGCTCTTTACTGAAATGTAATCTTGCCTCATGCAGTGTAGGAACAATATCTCATCTGGCCAATTCTCCTATATCCTGCTCTCAAAATAAGGCAAATCAAAGAAGGTGGGTTGTATCCAACATTGGTCATACTCCAAGTAGCCCTATAGAAATCAATGGGCTATGACTAACTTAGGTCTTTTCATTTCAGTGGGCTTACTCAGAGTAGAAATTAGCTAAATACAGTCCAGTAATAGCACCACCAATGGATGATTTGCAGGCAGTCCTTTGTCACAGGATGTGTCAAAGCCACTTTAAATCAAAGACCCATGTACATTCAACTTTTATCCTTGGTTACTGATTTAGCAGGGAGAGAGAAATGTATGAAATCACATTGTTGGTGGATGGGATTTATTGGCTTAACATCTGAGGAGATTCAGGAATGTAACTAATTGCTTCTGAAGTCAATTGTAATTTATTTTAAGTAAATTGTCTCCAGATTTGCCTTTCCTTGGTAGACAAGTCCTCTTTTTTTAGGTGTTTTGCCAATAATGTGATCTCCCTGATAAACAGGCTGTCATGGAGTCACTGCATGCCAATCAACTGAATTTTTGCACATGCAAGTTCACTGCTACAGAATTTCATCTGCAGAATGCACTTAGAGAAGTTTTGCTGTCTGCAGACAATCCCTAGAGTATAGACCCATCTGCTTATAATTGGTCTATAGCCCCAGGCTAACCAAATATCTAGTATCACCAATGGACTGTGTCAGCAGCCCTTCCAGGCTACAGTGCATGACGCATTTTCTTCAGTGCATTCTCTTAATTATCTCATGTGCCCATGTAGGGTAAGAGGCATGGGAAGAAGCATCATAGCAGTGCACGATGCCAGGGGGGAAATGTTTCCAGCTATGAGGAACTGAACCAGTGGGAAGCAATATCTCATCCGCTGTATGTTATTAAAAACAATTCCTAATGCAAAACATTTAATACAGTTCATCCATATGGCTTGGTTTTCCTACCAAATCTCTGCACAGAGAATTGCATTTTTCACCTGGTGGGTTCATTTTATAAATCATAATCCCTCCCTTCTAAACCATAATCCCTCCCTGAAAAGTCATCTGATCATAATTATGGTTTTTCCATATGTGCCTCCACCCCCACCCCTGTTTATCACACACAAAGCCCAGAAATGGTGCTGTGATGTATAAGATGTATTTATCAGAGACATAAAAAACTGAACCTGTCTTCTGTGGGATAACCAGTCTAATATAACCAACATGCTTAAGTCTAATTAATGCATGATGGGGTTAAGACCACAGAGTAAGCTGTTCTGCCAGGCTTAGCTCACCTTGGGAGGGACTAGGTAATCAAGCCTTCAGTCTACCCAAGAAGCTCAGACCATGACTCTTACAAGTCACTCTTGAGTTCTTACACCAATAATGCAGGAACTTTCACTACTGTAACTAAGCCAAGTTTTGCTGGCTGTGCAACTTTTTCTGAATGCTGTATGGAAAACCCATGAATCCAACCTTTGGAAAGTTTGTAAGTAAACCATTTTTAACTTACCAAGTGAGTGGTCTTTATCTATGCTAGGGGAAGAGAGGAGTTTTGGAACTCACAAGGGCATATTTTAAAGGTCGAACAGCCTATATTTCTACACTGATGCATATTTTCTGACTTTGAATATCTGTCACCAAAGGGTACTTGCCCCAGAATTCAGCAATTTATAGCCCTTTGCCAACAAAGCAGGTGAAAACAGAAACCTGTTGGGCATTCTCTACCTCTCAAAGTTTGTGATATATTGCAACACTATTTGAGGGGGGGGGTCCGTCTCCTCTTTTTTCCTTCTAGAAAAACTGCAAACCGCTCTGAAGCTCTTTTAAGAGTAAATGGAAGAGAGCAAGTGAGAAATTGATAGCGGGAGGCTTTAGCTAGATCTTTGTGATGCTAGTGCAGCATGGCTGCCCATGTAGCTGGTCCAGAGGCCGCAGCCCAAGTGATGAGAGGTGTTCCTTATCAGGTTCCTATCATGCCAGTGCTGAGGGATCTGCGCTGACTGCCTGTTAGTCACCAAGTTGGTGTTCACGCAGTGTACACATTGCATATGCACATGCAGAGCTCTAAATCAATCTGGACCAGGTTACCTGGGGAAAAATATTCTCCTGCACTGCCGAGTAAGGACATTGCAATCAGCTAATCAATGGCACCGAGTTACCGTATTTTTTGCACCATAACACTCACTTTTTCCTCCTAAAAAGTAAGGGGAAATGTCTGTGCGTGTTATGGAGGGAATGCCTACGGGTGGCATGCCTACGGATTTTCCCCCTCTAAAAACTACGTGCGTGTTATGGTCAAGTGCGTGTTATAGAGCGAAAAATACGGTAGTTTGCCTGCAGCCTGATTATTACTGGTTTGTGGTAACACAATGGCAGGCTTATTCATTTGTGGTACCAGTGTTGTGGAATGCCCTCCCTGCTGAAATACGAGAGGTGCCAATCAGTACCTCTGCCTCCTGAGGACACATTTGTTTAGGTAAACATGCTCCTGAATTTGAACTTCTGATCATACTGTTTTCGCTGTTTTTAAAGAGTTCTAATTGTTTTTAACTCACTTGTTTTATTTTGGATTTTAAGGAAGGTTGTTATGATGGTCTGATGGAATTGTCATTGTGTATTGTGTGATTGTTTTATAATTGATTTTATAGTTGTTACCTGCCTAGAAACCCTTTGGGGATATAAGGAGAGTATGAATTAAATAATAATAATAATGGTGTGCAGTTTTTCATTCTGCTGATAAAGGGCAGTTTAAATTGTGTGACATGTGACATTCACAACTGTCTTTTTGTTTGGTGATGGGCAGATGTAATTTGCAACTTCATCCTTATTCAAAATTGTGTGTCCTTTATATTTTGTGTACTTTAATATAATATATTCATGTTCTTGAGACTTTGGAGGGTTTTAGTCCCCCAATCTCAAGGGCAACATTTCCAGGAAACAGGACTGACAAACTCAATGCTTTTTTAAGTCATCTGGGTGGTCTTCAGACTCTGAATGCTGTCAGCTGAACTCAGCTGCAGAATCTATCAAACTCAGTGGGAGAACCAAGCAGTGTTGGATGAGTTTTATCTATGTTCTGGATAAGGAATTGTATACATTTTCTTTTCTTTGGCTTTTGGTCTGATCTTATACACTTGGAAACATTTTTAGGCTATAAAGTATAACGTGGACACTTTAAGTGGAAACATAAATATCTTCAGGAAGGCTACCACGTTGTCTCAGTAATTTATAAACTGAGAGTGGAGAGAAACTATAGACATGAAATATTCTGATGGCCTGTAGGTATATGGTGTGTAATACTAGATACATAAGGATGCGTTACTCTTAAAATGGCTATTTCTCCCCTCTCCATTCATTCTGCAATGACATGGTTCTAAGAAATAGTCCAAATAGTTGTTTGACCTTACAGCTGCCACACAGACCATGCTATGCAATGATCAGCAAGGTTCTTCATGCTTGGCAATAGAGGGGTGGTTAAAACTTTTTAAAAATCTGATTGTGTTTGAAACTTGACTCAGGAGGACAAATCACATTCTAATGGGTGATGTGAAGAGAAGGGCAGTTATAAGTCTGATTCCACATAATAGATTGTCTTATCAAATTAGGTTTGTTTAGACAAAAAGTAAATTAACTTTGGCTATATAAATTAACAAAGGAGCTTTAAAGGAACACTCCAGCATGGCATAGCTGAATTACCACTTATCAAGCAGTTCAGTCCTATTCTTTTCAGCTCTGGATAGGGGCAATGGCTTTTTGTTCTTCTGCAGGCATGAATTTACTAAGCATTCATATGATATCACCAATTGTGCTATCACCAATTCCTGATGGTGTGAAGGGCCACTGTGCTTATTATGAACCTGAATGGACAGACTAGCCCTTCTCAGAGTAGACCTGTTGAAGTGAATAGGCATGGCTAACTTAAGTGCATTCATTAAGTGCATTCATTCTGAATTATTATTATTTGTTGTTGTTACCTGCCTTTCAACCCAAGGTCCTAGAATTAAAAACAACCTTGAATGCAACTCTGTACTTTTTGCATTTCATTGGGAGGAATTTAGTGTTTTTTGAGCAGAAGCATTTCTGCTTGCCAGACAGAATGACCCCCTTCTCGCCCCTGTATGTTGTTCTGGGGTTCCCTGAATCTTGAGCATGGATTTAGGGGCAGTGATATCAAATGAATGCTTAGTAAATTAATGCCTGCAGAAGAACAGAAAGCTATTGCTCCTATCCAGAGCTGAAAAGAATATGACTTCATTTGTGGGTGACCCTTGTGTGCTGGCTTCCGCTAGTGCACCAGGTTAGTCGGATCTAGACCCTTGTAATTTAAATCCAACTTTTATAAATGTTGTTCTCTTTACACCCATGTTTACAACTGCCAGCTGAAGACTGTACTTTATACATGACATGGAATCTAATCCACAGAAGCTCAACAAGACTCAACAATAAGTTTTTGCTTCTGCTGTAATTAATGTGCTAGCCTTTAAGGTGCCACAAGAGCCTTTGTAAGCAGGGCCAGATTTAGGTTTGATGAGGCCCTAGGCTACTGAAGGTAATGGGGCCCTTTATAAGTCCAACTATCGTTTGTCAACAACAAATTGCCGCTGTTTTTTTGTGTTGAATATATGCTATATGGTAATTTATAGACCTAATAGGTATCTAAAGCCATTTGCATATAACAAAATATGTATTTCATCAAAGTAATTGTTGAACTGAAATACACTGAAAAACAATGTTGCTGTATGTAGGTTTTATTTTATTTTTTTTTATCTTATATTTTGGAAATGTACATCCAGTGGGGTTTTTTCTTTACATTTTTGGGGGGCCCCCAAAAGAGTGGGCCCCTAAGCTATAGCTTGTTTAGCTTATACATAAATCCAGCACTGTTTATAAGTTAAGTCAGTGATGACTGTCATGTTAGATGTAGTGAAGTATTTGCACTGAATTAGAATAATGCATTATTAATGGTCCTATTGATCTGGGGCTTACTTTGCCTCTTGAACTTGGGCTAGTTTTGTTAATGTGTTTATAAATTTAGCCTTCCTTTTTTGCTTCAGGTGTGGAAACAAGTGAATCACCTGAGACATGAATTTTGACTCTGTCTGTAACCAGCAGCTCCTTAGAAACCAACTAAAGGAGCCCCGTGATGTTGAAGCACAGAACTGTGCCAAAGCATGTAGCACCTGCAACTCCAGTGTTATATTGCCAAGAATACTTCCACCCCCATCCTACCGTCCCTCTGTGTATATTTATAACAGCAGCGACTGGGAAATTTGTGAGGAGTTACGGCTTCGAGAGCTTGAAGAAGCCAAGGCTAGGGCAGCCCAAATGGAGAAGACCATGCGTTGGTGGTCAGACTGCACGGCCAACTGGCGTGAGAAATGGAGCAAAGTCAGAGCTGAAAGAAATAAAGCCCGTGAAGAAGGGAGGCAACTGAAGCTTAAGCTGGAAGCCTCAATGAAAGAGCTGAGTGCCCTGAAGAAAATAAACCAATGTTTACTCACAGAAAATGAAGATGTGGAAGCCAGGAATGTGAGGAAAAAGAGCTTTGCCTTTTCTGAAATGTGTTTGATGACAGAGGACCATTTAGCATCTCTGGAGAAAAAGCCTGTTAAACATGTCCAGAACAACAAGATTTTTGAGGTGGAAAGTCTCTGTCAGGTAAATAGATATGGGTCTTTTTTAAATCACAAAAATGAACCAATTCCCACCACAGTTCTAAACATTCTGAGGCTGCAATCCTTTACCCACTTTTTCATTTCAGGAAGTTTATGCGACTGAAAACCCTTTAGGAGACCACCAAGATAAAATAATCAATTTGGAGATTCTTGATTCCAGAGGCAAACACACATCAGTTTTTCTGGAAAATCCTGACACAAGCAAAGAGAATGAAACCAGATCTCAGGACGATGAAGTCGTACATATTTCTGTGTTGCATTTGCATCTTCTTGAATCAAGGAAAATCTTGCAGAAGGAGCAAAAGTAAGTTAATAACATATTTCCTTTTGTTAAAAAAATCCCCACATTTTCCTCCAAGAAAAACTTTTAATGGGCCAATTTTGGAATAGAATTACAGTGTATTTTGCAGGTAGTGAAAAGTCTAGTTCCAATGCCAAATTCATTGGGGACTAGTTCTTATTTCCCCCATTTATCTTTCTTATTAACTTTGCGAGATGGTGCCTGTCAACAACCTGGAAAAAGAGTAACATGCCTTTATGAAATGTTCTTACAAATCCTACTGTCTGCTCCACTGTGCAGCGTTTTAAGAACTTACTATTGACAGAGCAGTGGTGTTGAATGTGATTTATTCTGGTATGTGCTGCTGGCAGCTGTTGCTAATGATGGCAAATATTTATTCAGTTATTCAGTACCAAAAGTGTGCAAGGATGAGAGACATAAACAAGAGGACATTCTTACCCAGAGAGAATATCATATTAAGAACCAGTTCAAGAGTGTAGCAACAGTGTCCCTGCATACAGTTGTTCACCAGCTTGGTCCTGCACACAACCATATGAAATTAAATTAGCAATATGGCATGTTATCCTGTCCTGTGATTATTTCCAGCTTCACCCCTATCTTGCTAGTTACTGGAGGGCTGACAGTGGCAGAGCAAGGAACCCAAGTCTCAGATTTGTCTGTTCACTGAAATACACCTATGGAATCTATGTAACTGAAACTATCATGGAACTAAAGCTGCCATTCTACATTAAAAACATCCAACTGGCAGTCAATGCCATTCAGATAGAATGACAGCATTGGAGGAGACCTTGATGGTCATCTCATCCAGGGCCCTGATACGGATACAAGTTTTTAAAGCATCCTTCCTTCTCGATTCTAAAACATGCAGGGAGCTTGTATGGCTAAAAATGGCTTCCCACTTCAGAAGTTATCTCTCAACATGAAAGAGGCTACAAGGAACTGTGCAACCCTGAAGTTCCTTTGTATCCATGTTGCCCCTTCACATGAGTAATGTGTAAATAAGTACAGTCATACCTTGGAAGTCGAATGGAATCCGTTCTGGAAGCATGCTCGACTTCCAAAACATTCGGAAACCAAAGCACGGCTTCCGACTGGCTGCAGGAAGCTCCTGCAGCCAACCGGAAGCCCCGTCGGGCATTCGGGTTCCAAAAATAGTTCGCAAACCAGAACAGTCACTTCCGGGTTTGCGGCGTTCGGGAGCCAAAACATTCGAGAACTAAGCTGTTTGAAAACCAAGGTACGTCTGTATTCAGTATCCCATGGGGAAATCTGATCTTTAGCGTTGCATCAGAACAAATGGTGATTGGGTTTGTTCTGATCTCTATCACAAAAGAGCAGGTATTCCAGGGGAAAGTGGCATGGCAAAGGCAAAACCACATGGACCCATGCCCAGAAGGCGTGGGACAAGAGGGAAACTGCTTGGAAAGCACAGGGGTGCCAACTATAGGGGGCTCTGGGTGCCAGAGCACCCTACCATTGTTGTGGGTTCACCCACACTGCAGGGCCCCCATGCAACTTCTGAGGTCTTGCAAGACATGGAAAACATCCTGTGGCCCAAGTTGGCTCCCCTGGGACAAGTGGAAGTGTGGAGAAGCTCTTTGTCTTCTTCCAGTGTGTTTCAACAACAGCAGCCACTAGGTCTAGCAGCAGCCACTAGGATTAAAACTGCACATGCTTTAGCTCACCTGGATGCAGGATTGGACTGCCCATTGCTTTTGAAAATGCCATTCTCCCTAGCACAAGAACTGCAACAAAACCCTTCCGCATCTTGAAGAATATAGTCCTGGAACCCATGCAATATTTTAAAGTATTGTTTGTTATCGTTCTTGTAACACTGCAGAATCCGCTTATCTCTGGAGAAAGAGATAGAGAAGCTGAAGTCAGAAAAAATTCTGTGGAAATGGAAATATGAGGAGCTAAGAAAGTCCAAACAGCAAAGTCTAAAGCAGGTATGTTGCAAAAGGCAGTTACCATGGGTAACTGGAAAATAAATTAAATTTCTTCTCTTTTGTTGTCTTGCTCTCCCATATGTACAAACCTAAGAGGCAGATTATGAGTTATGCCGAAGTAGAAATGAATACATCTTCCATGTTTTATTACATTTCCATGTCTAGGCCCTACCCTGCTTTCAATCCACCTTCTGTCTGATTTAACATGGAAAATTCAATAAGCATTCCCAGGGTGTGGTTTGAAAAAACACATGTCCACCACCCTTCTGAAGCTGTGTCTGGGTCAAAGTTAGAAGGTCAGAGTTACTGCCTCAGATCCATATGTACACTGCACTGGGATACCTTACAGAAGACACCTGGGCTATAAATGTAATAAACCAAGATATGATCATCTGAACACAGCTTTTTACATATGTTGCTCTACTACTACAACAACAACAATCCCATTGGGTTCTACTATAAGGTAAAATGGATTACACTTCCATACATGATACCTAATGCACCTGCTGAAGGTCATTTTTAGCAAATTGTGTATTGATTGTGTGCTATAGAAAATGAAATGATAATGAAAATCTAGCGGCAACTAACTTTTTAATGCTCTAAAATGGAACCTAAGAAATAAGGATCTTGCTATAGAAATATAGCCTCTCCAGAGAACTTGCTCAGGTTTCAAACTTTCATATATACTATCATTTATTTAAGACAGTTATATGCTGATTAACCGTTCACATTTCTAAGCTGTGGACATCAAAACAAACCATAGAAAAGGAAACAATAAAGCAATAAACATAAAATGAACACTACATTGAAATAACCTGCTGGAACAAGAAAGCCCTTAATCATGAGCATGAAGGGGAATGCCTGTCTAATCTCAGTTGGGAGACAGTCTTGGGCCCACTGCACTTAATGCACAGCTTCTAGTAGTCATAAAAACATAATATTCAATGTTAAGTCTCGTTATAATATTATTATCCTTGATTAGAATTCAGTCCTGAGTTGACGTGCCTTCTGAAATAGGGTGCGGAGGGCAGTACATATATAAAATAGTAACAATGTGAGCATCCATCGAAAGCTGCAAACTTATACACACTAACCTGCAAATAAGATGCTGTTCCCAGATATTATAATATATGTCTGTCCTCTGCTAGTCCTATGAAAGTGATGATTAAGAACAGTGTTCATTTTAGTCCAAGAAACTTGCAGGTTCCTTCACTGACCACTGGTGAGCAGTATAGACTTGCAAATGCTTTCTTGCCAATAGCATGAATTCTCCCCCCTCCCAGGAAAATGTATTTGCTCATTATAAAATTGCTTTATGTTAGGTTTTTCTTTTCTTTTCTTTTTTGAAAGGCTGTATTTGTGATTTGAATATATAGCTATTTGTATTAGCACTTACATGTAATTGCATTGCTGGATGATATTGTATGTTCTCCATAATAATTTTTCTCTTAAATCTTATGGAAAACATAGCTAGGTTACATAGGTAAATTAAGGCAAATTATCAGACTGGACAGAAAGAGTGTATCTGGATTTTGTTAATCAATGTGAAGGATGGATGGAAATTATTTTGAAATGCGACGTGTGTGTTCAGTAGGTCTTTCGGCTGCAGGATAAATTGCTTGTAAAATGTATGGTGCAACTATAAATCACCATAATGCTTCCTTAGGGTGATTTCAGATGCTTCATTTTATCCAAAAGAATATTGCATCTTCAAGATCCACATCAATATGGCTTGTTAAAGGTTAAATCGGTTTTTAAATTATGTTTGAAGCAACCTGGGTATGTCTCCATCATAGTACATGACGAGAGAATCAAATTATTGGGTGATTCCAATGTAGAGAAAAATGTTAAAAGAGATTTTGGAGATGCTTCCAACACAATAAAAAAATGGTCCAGTTTATTAAAAAAATTGCACCTGACTAAGTATAATTTGAGCATGGAAACACTGCCAGTAGATTAATGGAAGATTTTATTCCACATAAACAGCTGTCTACAGTGGTACCTCGGGTTACAGATGCTTTAGATTATGTGATTTTGGGTTGCGCACCGCGCTGAACCTGGAAGTACTGGAATGGGTTACTTCCGGGTTTCGGCACTCATGCGTGCGCAGAAGTGCTAAATTGTGCTTTGCGCATGCGCAGAAGTGCTGAATCGCATCCCGTGCGTGCGCAGACGTGGCGCTGTGGGTTGCAAATGTGCCTCCCGCACGAATCACGTTCACAACCCGAGGTTCCACTGTATTTCTTAATAATAATAATAATAATAATAATAATAAAATTTTTTATTTATATCCCGCCCTCCCCAGCCGAAGCCGGGCTCAGGGCGGCTAACAACAATAAAACAGTACAAAAGTTTTCTGTCCTGTTCTCAGAGATTATTGTTTTCTTAGATTGATTTATTTTCAAGTTTATATCAGATTATATTATATTATTAATATATTATATTATATTATTAATATCATATTATTATAATTAGATCAGAAGTTTCCAATGTGCTGTATTCAAACTGTTACTGGGGTTCAACTCACATCAACTTCAGCTAGCATGGCCAATGTTAGACATCAGGAGGGCACTACATTGGTTACGCTGACCTAGATTAATAGAGTCCTTAGTGCCTGAGATAACTGCTTGAACAGTTAAAGTAGTGGGGGGGGGGGGCTTAATCTCACACTGATTACATCCAAAAAGCTGCAGGAAGACCATAGTGTCTGGAGTCCCACCTTCCTTCCTACTTAGGGGTGCCGGATGCAAAATGGTTGCCAGGGGCAGATTCTTGCATCTTGTATAGAAGAGATCTTCTACACATCTAGTTGTGTAGAAGAGATGATTGTAGCGTTTGTAGTTTAAATGGACAGGACAGAAGCCCTATCCTCTTTTGCATCATGTCCGCCCACTGTAGCCCTTTATGCCCCACTTACCTAGAAAGCTGAGTGCCCCTCTGCAGAAACTGGCAAGGCAACAGGTAGAGATGCTGTAAGAAGGTTAACATGGAACTTTGGATTGTGGCCCTTCAATCTTAGCACAAAAGCAGGAGTGGGGAACTGGTGACCCTCCAGACAGCAGCGGAGAGTGGGTTGAGTTGCAGACACTTCCCTGACCTCCTGGCAGATGAGCCACTGCTGGTCACTAGCAGGGGAGGGGCGAGGTGGGGGCAAGGTCACTACAGTGCAAATGCACCAGTCAATTAAATCCAGCACTTTTGCTGGTCCATTGTCACTGTGCCACCATTCCCAGTGTTTCACCCCACCATCTTTAATAACTCACCTGCCAGGAGCTCAGGTAAGCATCTCTACCCTACCATGCCCTATACTTCTGCCTTTGGGTGTTGCTGGACTACAACTTTCATAATCCCTGACCCTTGACCATGGTAACTGGGGCTGATGTTTGGAGACTATCAACATTTGGAAGGCCACAGTTTTCACATGCTTGCGTTAAGTATTATTTTACTACCATGAGCAGCAGTAGGCTTCAGTGTGAATTATAGAACTTTTTAGAAAGCCATCAAATCGGGCTTGCTAACTCCTGAAGCTGAGAAACTAAGAAATGAAACTGAATCAATAGGGGGTGCAAAAGGTCCACCATCTTGAAGCCTTGGCTGTTTCGTAATGTGATAATTTAAAAGCAGTTTTCTCCTCCACTTGGCAAATAGAATGTAAACATACAACCCTACAATCATGCATTGAAATTCTGTGTACAGTGTTCAGATAAGTACCCACACCTGCTGCAAATGTAAACATACATCCACACCTGCTTAATTAAGTATGTAGAAAGAAGAGAAGTTAGATTTGTTCTTCCATACAGCTCCTGAAACTATGTATTTCTTTTATTTTAAAAAAATCAAACAAGTTAGAATGTAAATAGAACTGTATCAACTTTGAAACAAAAGAAGGGCATGGAAGAGACTCATTCAAGCATCTTTTCTCTGTGTCTTATTTAAAGCACAACTTGATTTAGTTCAGCCTTTATGTTTTATGGAGCTGTATGCTGGCGATTGTATGGAAAACCAATATGCTTACTCCTCTGCAAAATTAAAAGAGGGGAGGGGAAACCTCTTTCCAGCTTGGTAGATATAAATGTGACCATGAGATGTGTGGGTAATACATGATCTATGCTTAAGGTTGTATCCCTGTACGTTATCCTCAGAGTTGACCCATTAAAATTAATAGCCCTAAATTGGTCATATCCATTAACTTAATGTCTATTCTGAGTAGACCTAACATTAGATAACAACCTATTTTTTTTAAAAAAAATAATAATCATGTAATTTAGATTGTTTAATAATAGTAACAGCAACAGAAACGTTAAAGGGTTAAACACTATCTTCTTCATAAAGATAAATTCATTCACATTTGACATTTTATGTCCCCCCCCCTTGAAGGATGTTTGCTGAAAATGTTTTCCCAATACACCATGCCTCTTTACAGTGGCTTTTTCTGTCACTAAAAAGGGGGCAGGAAATGAACATGTTTGCCTGGCTTGCCAGCCAATCATTAGTGTGGCCAAATGCAAAAGTGGGCAAGGTTCCTGCTCCTTTAAGAACTGTGCAAAAAAAGGGGGTGGAATTGACACCAATTTCCAACAAAGTGTCCTCTTCAAATCAGGTAGCCTTCAGATGTTTTGGACTATGACTGTCATCCTTCTTAATCCTTGGTCACACTGGCTGCGGCTTATGGGAGTTGTCCAAAAAATCTGGAGGGCACCAGATTGAAGAAGGCTGAGCAGTAACACAAGGTATTATCTGGCAGAGGTGTTTACCTGTCCTCCCAGCAGGTGAGTTACTGCTGCTTACTGGGAGGGGGTGAGGTGGTGCCACTATGGATCACTGATGCTTACGGGGGAGAAGGAGAGGAAGAGGGGTGATGTGGCAGGGAGGTCTGTGTAGTGAAAATGCACCAGCAGAACCAATATGCCGCTCCTGCTGATGTGTTTGCACTGTGATGACCCAACCACCTTGTCACCTCTTTCCCTCTGATAAGCATCACCGACCCATCTTCCAGCAACCTAGTGTAGCAGGTCCACCCCAATGGGCAATCCGCATGTTCCCAAGACTGGTTGAGGGGTTGTTGCAAAAACCAACAATTGTTTCAATAAGACACAGGCCATTTCTCCAGGGAATCTCAAATGCCTCCATAATCTTTCCTGTGTTTTTTATGTATCTGCAGCTCAGAAACACCCTAGTTTTTCCTCCACCTGCTTGTTCTTTGTTAGAATTCTTTCTCAGCTGCAAGTTAGATTTCTGCTGACTTCAAGATTGTCACCCTTTTTTCCACATGGAAGTTTGTTGCCCAGAATAAGTGTGTGTGTAGGGGGGGAGGAAAGTACTTTCACCAGCTGTTGGATAGGAGGAAAGATTTGCAAGAGTCAGACCAATCTCCCTAATGACTGTCAAAGCTCCATATGTTAGGAAGAAGATTGTAGTGAAGTGTTGCTTCCTTTAAATAATAAACAAGCAAACTCAACTTCAAATCATGAAGACCAAGCATACCCCGCTGTCACATTCACATCCTTTGCAGCAAAGGGGCAACGAACAGCAGTAATACAATGCGGTTTCAAGTACCATTAAAACGTTGCGTTTGATGGAAGCACGGCACCATCCTTTGAAATGTAAACCAAATATCTGTTGTGAAACCTTGAAACACATGTGGGAATTAGCAAAGACTCTTTCTGCTTCCTGCAAAGTTAGGATGTCATTGAGGCAAATTAAGAGATGAAAGCTCGTGTTTTTACGTCAGATCTTCTGGTTCAGAATGCCCCAAAGCAGCTGCCCTTTGGAGACTTCAAATTAAATTAGAAGAAATAATTGCTATAATCCCTTTGCCTAAAACAATTTTTGCCATTTACATAGGGTTTTGAACACAGTTTGTATAATCTATTACCACTGCCACCCCTGCTGGTTTCTTCTGTCATAATCCAATCAACTACTAGAAAAGCATGCTAATGAGTCTTTAAAAATCCCATTTGGAATGAACATCAGGGGCTCCAGCTTTCCCTGCCTAGTTGTGGAATCTAAATTCGCAAAGTTCTCAAAAGCAATCTAGATGAAGCAAGGTGATACACGGGATTGTGGTTTTTGCTTTTCTGTGATGGAAATTCTTCTCTTCACTATGTGGGAAAACTTTATTATAGCAGAATGGAATGATAAATCCCTGATAGCATATATAACATGACCCCCACTAAATCAGTTCCGGGTACATTCACAGTATCTTTCCATCACATAGAAGTAACACCCTACTGGCCTGATCCTGAATTTGCTTCAATTGGAAGTTCAATGAGGCTTAGTCAGTGCACACAAGATTACAGACTAAGGGTGTGTATACATTGTTGCTACATCGTTATTTCTTCAGTTTGGATCAAAGCTATTTTGGCAGCAGACACATCAAAAACAAGAAATGTTCACGGGAAATGACAGGATAGATATGGATTGTTATTGCAAGCATCATGTATACAATGCTTCTTAAACCATCAATGTGACCATTAACATTAAAAATCTGGCAATGGAAAATTCCTCTGATGCCTACCTTCCTTTGATGCTCTAAGCATGTGCTTATTTTGCTTAATGGTTAATCTAACCTAGGTATTTATGCAGTCCAAAAAAGAGAAAGTAAAAAGTAAAAATATTGACCCCTTTTAACCGGTGGCTCTCCAGTTATGGAATCTGATTCCATGTGAGCTCAGGCAAGCCCCTCCCTTGTTAAATTTAAATGAGTCTTAAAGATTCCACTTTTCACAATGGCCTTTGGAGCTCAGTCTAAGGTATTGGATGCTGTTCTGTGCAGCTGGGTGGGTTACTTTGGTGGTATGCTGGCGTGTATCTTCCTGAGGTGGAATTGGATATTTTAATGGTTTAAACTAGTTTTATTGTTAGATTTTATGGATTTCTATTTGTACATGGCCTCGAGCCACTTTGAGAAGCAAATCTTGTTTACAAAGCAAGCTAAAAGCTTTTAAAAATAAATATATATATTTAAAAATACACTGATTTTACAAGTTTTTACAATGAAGAATCCAGTGCTGATAAGAGGATTTCGGAACTTAATGCTTTTATTGCTAAGTGCATTTCTGGACTAATACTTTATACTGGCCCATCTTAGACAGCTAGGCCCCAAATTGAAGCATTTGACATCTGTTCTTATGTTGTATTTTTGCAATAAAATACAGTAGTTTCACTCCTGGCACTTTTGATTGGCTTTCCCAATCTGTTCTTTTCAAAGGGGGCCATCCACATTCATTAAAATCAATGTGGATTTTGCTATTGTGAGTCAATGAGGCAAAACAGAAGAATGGGCCCAGCAAATCATCACTCCTTCCATAAAATTGTGCTTGAAAAAATACTCATTATTTTCTCTTTGTCTCTGTTGTAGTGTTGGTTTATGCTGAACTGTGACATTAGAATGGGTGATTCCTTGTGACAGTTTCAGCCTATAATTGCCTATAACAATTGGAGTTTTCTATTTGCCTATGCTAAGCTTTGCAGTGGTGGTATGAATTTAAGTGTTCTACACTTGTGAGAGCTCCTTGTGTGTTTTAAAACCCTGGAAAACAAGGTTTTAAACCTCCTCATGTTCATAGTATCTTCTACCTTCAGAAATTCAGGCTCCAGGTTGTGGAGGGTGACGACAGATGCAATGCAGGGAAGGAGCTACAGCCTTTGAGCAGGATTCAACTAAGCTGTTGTGCTACAGAAGGCAGCATAAGAACTCCCGCTAGCACAATGGGACTTCCCCCTTCTCTCACCTCCTCCCCACATAATTTCACAGGTCAGGTTGGGAGAGTGGGCACAACCTCCCAGAACAGAGCACAGGGTGAAGAGAGGGGAGATCATTCCACCAAGCAAGCAGAAAGACTTGTGCTGATGGAGCAATCTCCTTAGCGTAATGTTGCATTCCTTTCTGTTTCCCTAATCATCCTGCTCATGTGCTAAGATAAAGAGTCACAATCCAGTCTGTTTATTTTGCAGCATATTTTAAGCCAAGGCGAGTAACCTCAGGCAGAGGAACAAAGCTGGTCCTCCAGGCCTCTCTCTTTCACCCTAGAAATTCTCTCCTGACCATATGCTCACCTATTGGCTACATCCTCCTTGAATGATTTTGCCTGGCTGGAATGTGTTCTTGCATTGTGACAGTGCCTCTTGCTTGCTTGTCAGAAAGAAGTACAGAGAATGTGGGTGTGGGTGTGCCTAAAACCTCTGGCTTTTATATGGCTGGAATGTAATTACTGGGCAAAGGTGAGCATCACAGCCATTGCTCTGTTTACTTTTGCATCTGGACCTGTTCACCACTGAGATGTAGCAAACCTGGAGAGCCAGTGTGGTGTAGTGGTTAAGAGCGGTAGTCTCGTAATCTGGGGAACTGGGTTCGCGTCTCCGCTCCTCCACATGCAGCTGCTGGGTGACCTTGGGCCAGTCACACTTCTTTGAAGTCTCTCAGCCCCACTCACCTCACAGAGTGTTTGTTGTGGGGGAGGAAGGGAAAGGAGAATGTGAGCCACTTTGAGACTCCTGAAGGGGAGTGAAAGGCGGGATATCAAATCCAAACTCTTCTTCTTCTTCTTCTTTTTGCCTATGAGAGAATGTGGCCTTCAGGGCTAAAAAATTGTTTCCTTACCCCTGTTTTAAGCCATCTAGAGAATATCGTACGGATGATGCTTGCAGATGATATCCTAATATTTCAGTGATGAGCCAACTTCTATTTTTCAGTTTGGTATACATAATGATGTACATCAGACTGAAGTAACAAGAATCACAGAAGGTTTAGAGGAAGACACTGGACCCAAATCTCAGAACTCTGTGAAGATCTGGGACTTACAAGCAGAGGTATGTTTAGATATTTCTGAAGTGTGTGTTTACACAACAAAAGTTTATAGATCCCTTAGAATTATTTTAAATATGCTTTCCTAAATATATGCAGAACACATGGGACCCTAGATGTAAGTAGTATTTATATCGGGGTGAAGGTTTCTATGGGAGACTATTAGGAGTCTGAAAAAACATATTGGAAGAGCACATTCAGTACATCTTGGTTGGAAAACTATTGGTTGAATAGTTTTTAAAAAACATTTTCATAAATTCAGTTATTTTTGTCTTTGGGAATCTGGAGAAAATGAAGAGTTAGAATAAATGTTGATATTAAGGGAGGGAAAGGAGAACAACAAATTCTGTCTTTGAATAGTTTGCTACAAAAGGGGTTTTAAAAAGGTAGAGTGGAGAATGATTTATATATACATGACTGAAGGGCCATGTACAAGTTCTTTGGATGAATCAATTTGAGAGACCCATTTTCCCTCCTTAGTTTCTTTGTGTAAACTTTAAAATGACTATTTGAGAGTAGAGAAGTTCAGGTAGGACTCTTAGTTTTGTGAGATTAAGATTAGGTGTGAGTTCTTGAATACACTCATATAGAAAATGTCCCCCCCCCCCTACAAAATAGAGTTCTGCACAAGCATGTTATTGTAAGAGCATTCACAAAAGAGAGAAAAGTTTGTCATTTAGGACACCATGAACTCCTAATCATTAAAGATACAGTTTTCAATATGGAATTTCTAAAAGACAAATTTACCGTACTTTTCTGTGTATAAGATTATGCTTTCTTACTTAAAAACTATGTTAAAAATTTGGGCTCATCTTATACATGGATAGGTGGCTTTTGCGATACGTGCATTTTCTAGCACCCCCCCCTAAAAAAAGCTGGACAACTCTGGGCCGCCACCTCCCCAAAAAAGCTCAACAACTCAGGGCAATCCCCCCCCCATTTTCTAAATTTTGCGTCCCCCAAAATCTTATACACAGTAGCGTGCTATACACGAAAAAATATGGTAATATCTTTGGCCACAAATCCTTATCTCTCTCTAGCGTATCTTCATAGAAAATTAAAAGTATTTCCTCTCCCTCACTTTTTCACTAATGTGAAAAAGCACCCAACAGACAGCACCCAACCACAGCACACTGTGTATAAACCCCACACAGGGAGGTAGCAAGGCATGATTTTCATCAGGATGACAGTATAGAGAAAAGGGAGGTTTAATATGTTTCCCTTGCCTCTAACTGATCCTGATGAAAATTACACCCGTTGCACTGCTGTATGGAGAAACAAGACAGAAAAAACTCTCACTGTTGCCACAGAAAACAGTTTCTGAAGGAAGGTGTTTTTTTGCCAGTCCCCCCTGTAGATCACTTGTGCCTTCTGAACAAGAATGGGAGACCATTTCAAGTGGCATCGGAGTTGGTGTCTAGGACAGTAGGGATGGGATAATAGGTAAGACTTTGCCCTTCTGTAAGCTGGAGCCTACAATGGAATAGTGGCATTCATTTACAGCAGGGACATCCAACTCCCAATAGACTACGATCTACTCACAGTATAAAAAAACTGGCAGTGATCTACCCATTGTCAGATCATTGTTACTGAGCTTTTTCTTGGGGGGGGGAGATTGCTGAGGGGCCAGAGATCTACCAGGAGCACCCCGCGATCTGCCAGTAGATCACGATCTACCTGTTGGACATGCCTGATTTACAGGATCACAACTGGGCATCCCAGACAGTATATTTTCAACAGCAGCTGTTTTCAGACATTTTAACATGATGAAACCATTGTATTAGTTTACTGCCAAAAGCTTGCTTGCGTGTTTATGGACCTGGAAATGGGAAACTGGTAACAGGCTGGTGGAAAAGTCTTAAGGGAGACAAAACATGAGATAAAATGAGTAGTGTGGATGATCCGATGTGCTTATCAAGGGCATAATGGTATTAAAATACTCTCTGGATGTCATTTGCTCTATGCAACCTGTCATCAATGTATAGTCAGGATACCTCAGAAACTATTGTTTCAAAGTAGCTTCCCACTGCAAACCATATATGACTGCTCTCCTCTCATTTAAAACCTGTGCAATTGTAGCATAGCTCTTTTGAACACTAATAGTCTTGTATTGATTTTATTTTGTCCTTGTTGAGCTCTTTAAATTTAAAACAGCTGTTTTGCCAGTAGTTGTTCAGGATAGCCTGAGGCATCGCTCTGTTGTCATTAACAAGGATTCATGACCCCCTGGTGTAGGAAGTCTTTAGGTCATTTTTGGGTTGCTTGTTTATGAAGAAAAAGAGGGTGAGCATTAAAAATGGACTTTTCAGTAGGGGTTATCAGAGTAAAATTTCCCCCAGAAACATAGTAAATTGATAATAACAAACCTCCTCTGCTGTGAATAGGCTTCTGTATGATGTAAAGTAGTAAAAAGAATATATATATATATATTCACACATACAGTGGTGCCCCGCAAGACGAATGCCTCGCAAGACGGAAAACCCGCTAGACGAAAGGGTTTTCCGTTTTTGAGTTGCTTCGCAGGACGAATTTCCCTATGGGCTTGCTTCGCAAGACGAAAATGTCTTGCGAGTCTTGAGATTTTTTTTTCGCTCCCCCCCCTTTATCTAATCCGCTAAGCCTTTAATAGCCTTTAATAGCCTTTTAGCAGCTAATCCACTAAGCCTTTAAGCCTTTAATAGCCGCTAAACCGCTAATAGCGCTAATCCGTTAAGCCGCTAATAGGATTGCTTCGCAAGACGAAAAAACCGCTAGACGAAGACTCTCGCGGAACGGATTAATTTCGTCTTGCGAGGCACCACTGTATACACACACAAGTGTTGTTCCCACAAGTGGTTATGGTTCAAAGCATGCATGACAATTGCAGAGTCATTTGTTTAAAAACTGCCCTAATTATGTATAAAGCAAGAGACAATTTTAGAACAAAAGGGGCACATGGATGAGGAGAATGGAACCTTTCCTTTGGGGAATGGTCATAGCTCAGTGATAGAGCATCTGCTTTGTTTGCAAGAGGGTTCTAGGCAACTTCAGGTAGAGCTGAGAGGGGCCCCAGTCTAAAACTTTGGAGAGCCATTGACAATCAAGGTAGGTATTACTGAGCTAGATGAAGCAATGGTCAAACTTACTAAGAGGCAGTTTCCTTTGTTTCTCCCACCACCTTCTGTTCCTAGGTTGCGTTCACACAGCAATTTATTTGGGGCATCCCCAAACTCGGCCCTCCAGATGTTTTAGGACTACAATTCCCATCATCCCTGACCACTGGTCCTGTTAGCTAGGGATGATGGAAGTTGTAGTCCCAAAACATCTGGAGGGCCAAGTTTGGGGTGCCTGCCCTAACTCTTAATTTCCACATTATATTTGAGCTTTCACACAATGTAAACCCCACTTCTGGGAATCTAGAGGAAGTTGAGAGTTCATTTCCGTGTTAATTGCTTCCAGGGGAAAAAAATCATTTGCAAATCCATTAACCCAGAAAACTGCGGGGGTAAAGTGACAAAATTAGGGGCAGTAGACCAGCATACAGTTCTTTCCTGCCTATTTTATGGGAGAAAGCATACAGGGAAAAGAAGCACACACATATGGAAAGGGTGAGAGAGTAGCGACATCGCCCAGTGACATTTGTTGTGCGTCACAGCACACTCACGGGTGTGACTGAAATTTAGCATGATGTGCTAGTATATTGGTCAGAAAGCCATAGTTCCAGAAAGCAACTGCTATTCTATTAAATCATTATTAGCAGGCATCATTTTACAGTCTGAAGAACCATTCCTCCGCTACAATAATAAGTAAAATGTCCTCTCTCCAATCAAAAAATGAAGAAAAGCCTTAATGTAATAGGTAAGTACAGGCTTCCTTAACCTCAGCCCTCCAGATGTTTTGAGATTACAATTCCCATCATCCCTGACCACTGGTCCTGCTAGCTAGGGATCATGGGAGCTGTAGGCCAAAAACATCTGGACGGCTGAGGTTGAGGAAGCCTGGATAAGTAGAACATGTCTTTGGAACATTTTGAAATGTTCCCAAACATATAGCCTTGGAAAGAGTTCTGTATCGTATCAAAGCTTGTACACAAATACCAGGCCAATCTTTGTGTTTTCTGTGTGTTTTGTTCTGTGGGGACTACACAAAGATGTAGTCCCCGCATTATTTTAGGTATTTACTTTATTGCAATGCAGTCTTCAAACTGAAGAAAAGCAATCCATTTAATAGAAAAAATCCATTTAATAGAAAAAAATATTTTTATTCAAGTAAATTTTTTGGATATGTGAACTGAAATTTCTCAGATGTCCAGGATAAATATACTTGCCTTTTTACCCCATATCTATGAGTCAGGTAGTCCTACCTGCCTAATAGTTTGGCTGGAATTCACTCTTGGATGCTTTTGTAATTTCTTTCCTTTCCTGAATCCAGTGAAGAATAAAAATTACATTGATTAGTCAGCATTGCAGAAAGATGAATTGCTTAGGATGGAAATTAAGGACCGAACTAAGCATTCTACACCAGATGTTGGTAACATTTGCCTGCTAGTTCTGTTTGCTTTTTATGAAAAGCAGTCTTCCAGCTTCAATCATTAGCCTTCAAAATTCACACTTCTCGAAATTATGCAATTCAGTTCTCCAACCCCAAAATATGTACAAAACACATATATATTAGTGAAAATAACACAGAAAATGGGGACATTGCTTGTAAAAATATGTGCATTAGGTAACATTGCATAAAAATGAATATATTAGAAGAAATGCTGGTGAATTTCCGTAAGGACTTTAAGAAAAAAAATATTATAAAGTGTACGATAAAATCCAAAATGGCAGTTGTCCATCGCTAGCTGCAATGTCCCTCTGGAATGTTTTTAAGGTGTGAGAAGCTTCATCTGAGTACTCCTCGTGTTGCAGTACTTATATTTTCAAAGGATCCACAGATCACATGGACTAATCAGCTGACAAGACTGTTTTTCATTTCCTAACTTGTTTCCTAACATTTCCATCTATGTCTTCGACTAGCCATAACTAGTGAGCAATAGGTTGTTGTTTTTTAAATGGTTACTCTTTGCCACCATACTAGTCTTCATCAAAAAATATATTGGAAATATATATATATATATCCTGGGTTTGGCCAGAGTTTACATCTTCTATACTTTTGTGCTGATAGTATGAACAATGAAAAATGCAAGTTAGTCTAAGAAATCAATAAACCTGGCTTCAGATACTGCTTCTTTTCTTCTGTATGACCCATCAGATGATACCAAGTTACGAAAAGACAGTATGTATGTCTCTCTGTATTGTTATGAGTTTGTGGGTTCAAGACACCTATAATTTATGGATTTAATAGGTGTTAGAATTTATTTAATGCTTGTAGAGTTAAACTGGAAGTCAGACTCTTAGTAGTAGCTGGATTCGTCTTCCCTTGTTAGGAGATCACCTGACAGATATGACATTAACAGAGAACAAAGACAAGGAGATGGGCCATCATCAAAGCAGAGACTCTCTGCGCAAATGGGTAGAGCTCCACCCTGAGCTCTGAGATTGGTAGTCAGTAGACAAGGCCAGAGATTTTGTTAGGAGGAAGTTTTAGTATTTCAGCTTTCTGTGGCATGATCAAGGGGGAAAGGTATTGGTCTGTTAAAAGCAAGTGAGAGAGTGGGGCCAGAGCACAATGTGGACTACCTGCTTTGAATTGGGAGACTGCAGCAGTGGGAGAGATGGGATTCTCTTGCAGTGTAATGCTTTGAAGCACTACACTGTAGCGTCAGGTTATATATCTGTATAAATAAACTATATAGCATAAAGACATGTAACAGTATATAAGGAGCTAGGAGCTCCATGCATAAATCCCAGCAGAATCCTGGGAGCTGTTCTGTATGTCATAGCTGTTTGACATCTCAAGCATATTAAGAACCCTGGATTAATTTGCCTGCATAATAGTTGCATGGGCCCACAAGTTTAATTTGCCTACAGCTGTGTGTCTTTTCCAGGAAAAGGGTTCTTGTCTTCACAGATTCTGCCATCCTCCTCTTCCATTTTCCAGACGGAAATACCACAGCCTGAGAGTACATCAGTATGGGAAAGAAGAAAAAACCTTGAAATAGAAAATCAAGAACTGGGTATAGACAACAGAAGATTAAAGGCCAAGATGAAGGATCTTCAAGATCTTCTGGACAGAAAAAGTAAATGGCCTGCAATTCATCTGTGTGGAGATCTCAAGATACCATACAGTGAACTGCTGGGGGGAAATAAGGTACGATGCTTAGTTACTTAATTCAAGCATTTCGGCAAGGGGTAGTTTGAGCTGTAGCAAATACTTCTCCCACATTTCATCCTCATCCCTGACTTCCACATTTTAGATGGGGCTCTCTTATGGAGAAAGTGCCTATACAGAGACCTGCATCCAAGCTAGAAACCTGCACATTCTACAGAGTTCTACACCTAATGTGTGAACATTGCAGTGGAGCCTAAAAGCTGCATAATTTTGGAGGTGGAGCCAGTGGTGGGACCCTTTTCTACACATGATGCCACCTGACACAACTCATAGCAGAAGGGAGCTTTAATTGAATTTACTATCAGCATTCTTTTCTGCATAAAATATCAATTACCCGGTCATGATTTCTGCATTAAACATGTTATTAATTATATTTATACTTCACACAATAATAGTACAAATAAGCATCAAAGGAATATTATTATAGCTATAAAAAGCACTTATTTTTCAATGAATATTTGAAGATAATTGCTTTAGCAGTCTGCCAAAAGTCAGGGGTTTTTGCAGTGGGTCAGCCAAACAGAATTTTATAGGATGCATCCACATTGGCTGTTTGTGCATGATCTGCTATGGTTATATGTGATATTCATGATTTCAGACAATAGCTTGCATTGTAAATCACCAGAATATTCATGAAAGCATATCTATAGCAGCCTATAAGACTGCTATATCTGGATGATCGTAACACTATTAAGAAGCAATAGAGTTAGAGTGGATCAGGACACTGATCAAATAAATTCCTCTCGTGTGTTTAGAGTTTGTTTTGAATTGCTTCTTTTTGGTAGCCCAGACCAGGACCACATCTTATGGGAAAAAATAAAATAAAACAACAAGATAATGTAGCATGAACAGAAGATCATTTATCTTCATTGGATGTGTTGCCAGTGCTTAATTTGTAAAATGAGTGGTGTCAGTGCTCAACAGTGCCAGATGCTATCACAGGAGCTTTGGGCTGACTGTCAATACAATACTGGGGGGTGGAATTCTGCATTTACATAGAGGCATTTATCCCTCTCGCCAAATGCAAAGGATGGCATGCAAGTCTAAGAGTTTGAGGATCTAGTTGTTGCTGTTGGAATGGATTGTGGGGTTTAAGTCAGGCTGGCTTTAAAGGTACACCAGGAAAAAAACAGAATACCCAGCCCTCAACATCCCAAAGTACAAAGACTCTACAATTTACTCATTAGTCAAAGAAGTCTTTAGGTTTCCATTTTCTAGACAGGCTAGAAGCCACCAAAGATATAGAGCTGGGATAGGTGGATAGCCAGTGTTGTGCCCTCCAGGTGTTAATGTCTATAACCCCCATTATTCTTAGCCAATAGTTGTGCTCCATGGAGCTGATGGAAGTTGAGGTCCAGCAACATTTGAGGGGCAGCACATTGGGTACCCCTGTTGTAGACATAAGAGAAAGGGAAGGGGGACAGATAAGGAACTAAGGCTAGAGAAAGGGGGAACCAGCCTGAACAGGAGACACCACAGAACAAAAAGGATGTGAGATTTGGAAAAATCCATCCCAAGTTAAAATCAAGAAGCCAAAGGAAATAGTTTGGGGGTAGCATTTACAAGTCAAGCATTTATTTATTTTTTAAGTTCTTACTAACTTTGCATTCACTGGTCTAGAGGAGCAGCAATTATTCTCAATGTGTGTAGTAGTTCCATGCATTATTGCTCACTTGGGCAGCTGCCTCAAGGCCAAACTAAATGAGACACCATTCAAGCAATTAGCTTTTTAAATAACGGCATGAATGGGAGCTTTCCCCTTTATGCACATAGCAGGTATTGGGGCTTGATCCAGACTGAGAACCAGGGAAAGGATAAAAGGTAAAAGGTCCCTATCCTGTGTCAGGGTCCCAATCCAGATCAGCACCCTTGTGCTTGCTATTTACATTAAAACAACAACAACATCATCATCAACAACAACACTGGTAATTGTGTGACTGGTGTCTTATCAAGTTTGGTCCTCAATTAATACTTTAGCTGGTCCAACCTACATTTGATTTCAAATTCCCACTTGGATGCCAACAATCAAGTGATTGACAAGAGAACTATTTACAAAGGAAAGGAAAAGAAAAGAAAAGAGAGAGTCAGTCATAGGAGCTCCATTCATACGAATACAGTTCTAAACCAGCTTTTTCAACACCACTGCTTTCTGCACAAGAACCAGCCTATGGACATTGCAGGAGGCTGGACTAGATGATCCTCAGGGTCTCTTCCAACTCTACAATTCTATGATTCCATATCAGAGTTGCTACCTCTGAGATATATACCTCAGATAATAGGCTCCCACCCTTAAATAAGTAACTCGTGTGACTGTGCCTCCCTGCTTTAGCAGTGTTTCTTGTTGTCATTGAAAGAAAAATAGCCGAAGTGTGTAAAGAAAAATAGAGAAGTGTGTAGCCTTCTCTTTTCGATCATGAGCACAATGCCTTGGGGATAAATGTTGAGACAAGATTATATCTGAATTTGGACCAACTGTGTATTTCTCTGTTCCATGGAGAAACTCCAGTTACATGAAACTTTTAGACTATACTAAAAACAAAATATGGGTTTTATTTCACCAGGCTTTTGTGTTGACCCCTTTACTGTGATAGAATAACGCATTATTACTTTTCCACCTTTCCATACAGTTTCTATGACCGGTATATATCATATTTCCCTTTAGCCCTACTGCCAAGTTTTTTAGACAGCTGCCTTGATTGCATGAAAGATGTGTATCAAATCTAATCTTCACTGTACTTGAAACTTTTAAAAAACAACCTACAGTTTTTTTTCAAATATATTATGAATGACTGTAGGAAATGTGGTTTTACTGTATTTTATTAGAGATATAAAACATAGGAATCAAAATGCTTTACGTGGCCTATGCAAGTTTTATATACTTCAACTTTTAACTACTCATATGACAGGCTGAAAGCAGGGAAATATATCATTCACATGGAAATTCATATCTATGTTTTAAAAAACATTTCCCTAAAACTATATTTGCGATCATAGCAGCTCATAGCTTATCTTTAAATACATACATGGGTTACAAGCTTTCCCATGTCAAGAATAGCAAATTGATGACTACCATCATTTGATCTGGATTAAATAGATGGTTGGAAGGTGTGTGGGGGGGGAGAGATTCAGACTAGAAGCATTAGATGTATTTTAATTTCCAGCGATATAGTGAGTTTATCTGGCTAAGTTTCCAATGACCTAACTAATCGGCTTACAAACTGATACTGTATGCTGTTACGGAGAGAAAAGAGAAAAGGGATGCAGTGGTAGCAGGAGGAAAAACAAGCAGAGTAAGGAGGTCCATTTGCTTTCAGATACGAAGTGGAGCCTATGCAGGTTCATCAGAGTCACTGGGTCATCAGCCCCATAAGTTATACCTGTTCTCCACCCGCTGCATTCACTTGCAAACACTTCCCACCTCCCTAAAATGGGACAATTTCATTTAGCCTAATGTATAGCATGAGATCATTCATTCTTAGCCAGCAGACCTGTCCATAGTGAGGAATTAACTCTTTATTGTCAAAAGTACACTTACAAGTTAGGAAAGGGCATGTCTATCAATCCCAGGTCTCTTAGCTACTCCTTGGTGTGCACCCAATACAGCAACAGTGAGGCCCCGCCTCCAGCCTCTGCTTATGTATCTCCCCCACCTGGGCTGCATGCAAGCAAAGAACAACTCTGCCTGCATGAAGGGCCATCTTTACCGGGGGGGGGGGGGCGGAGGGGTTTCTGTACATCCCCAGTATGGAAGAGACTGCGACCCACATCTAGTGGAGCTGTGGGCATGCGTTAGCAGAGTTCCTCAAGAAGCGAGACTGTGTAGGTATGCAGCATCAAGAATTTTTCTTTATTTACAGCAAATCAAAACAAAAAAACATGGCTAGTGTGAACAGCATCTCACACATGCATCTTCTCTGTTTGAGAGCAGAGAACAAAAAGCAGAAGAACAAAAGCACAAAGAACGGAAGTTCTCTGGTATGAGTTTCTGTTCCCACACTTTCAGCAGTATGGAATGTAAATAAGGATCACATGATCCAGCAATGAGAGAATGAATTACTGTAGTACTGTACTGACATCCTCCCCCATTTCATGACATCATTGCTACAGACTTCAGGAGAGTTGCAGCTTATTTACAAATACACTCAGTTGTTCCTTGTTAACAACTTTTGACAACAAATCAGCAGGAATTTCCTTTCCTGGCATATAGGACACATTTATGAGCTCCCTGCGGATACAATCCCTTGCATGACATAACTTGATCTGCAAGTATTTGGTTCTTTGCTTACACCCTTCAGAATTAAGCAAAGCTAAGCATGATTTGTTGTCCTGATAAGCCTGTATAGGACATGACACAGTATGAAATGTAAATAAGGATCACATGATCCAGCAATGAGAGAACAAATTACTGACAAGGGGTGCGGGGCACCCGGGCGCCGAATTCTGGGTGGTGCCAGGTGGGAGAGCAGGGAGAGCTCTCTGGAAAGTCTCGCTCACCAAAGCCAGGAGGAGGGGGAGTGACAGGAAAGAGGGAGAGACAGACAGAAAGAGAACATGCCTATCCAGCGACAGGAGCACGCACATGCTCCAGAACCTTTCCAAGAAGAACTTGTATATGCGCATTCGCAAGGGCCCTCCCAGCTCCTCTAGAAATAAGGTTGCTCCCACAATGAAAGGCTGCCCAAGATGGCTCTCCACATGCATGTGCACAATGCCCGCCCATCTCATTTTTCAGACACCTCCCCATGACCGTAAGTGCATGTGTGGAGTCTTTACACTGACTCTCAGTGTGTGGAGTCAGGAGAAGGAAGGGTGGAAGCCCTTGACACTACACCAGTCTAACCAGTCTCTTCCTCCTCCTGCACCTGTTCTTCACTCTCCAGTCGTGCAGCTTCTCCTGCCTCTGACTCTCGTCTCCTGGCTATTGCAGGCTCTCCCAGTTCACCAGTCCTTCTTCCAAGCGCTCAACTCCTAGAGCCCACTCATCTTATTTAGATATAGGAACAGTTCATTTGCAAGTAATCATGTTAGATACATTTTGTACTTCATACGGCCTGCTTTACAGTTTTGTCATGGCTGCATGCTTTTCCTGGGACCAGAATGTTTCATGTTTTCTGTTTGACTTCTAAAAGCCATTTGTGTCCTGCTTCAATGTTAGTGGTTAAGCTGGTTATCGAAAACTATAGTGTGATCATTTTTAGCAGCTGAACTGAACTTTCCAAGGTGTCTATTTCATGAACTTCTGATGAAATTCCATTTTATGATGGCCCCATCTCATTTACATTTAAATCTAACCACTTTCAGACATTCTTCTGAAATGTGTGAATAGAATAGTTTAATTTCAAAAGTGGGGATTGAAAGTGAGATTGTAGAAAGTTTATACGGGCAATTTATATTCTAGTGATTGGGACACGGATATTTAAAAGGAGACCTGGGGCATTGTGATAATCAATTAATTCTGTCTGAAATGGAAACGTTAAATCTATGCTTATCACTCATGTTTTGACATTTCTTTGAAATGCAAGCGCCATTGCATATATTTATATCTATGACTTCTGAATATAGATAAATCAGTCTTGATTCAAAATACTGTTAGAAATTGTTGTTCAGTTTTTCCTGTTTATTTCATATATCCGGCATTAGAGGGACATTTAATATGCTAGAAGTGCAATCCTAACCTCTGATCCATGGCACTGGAGACGCTTAGGAAGAGGAAAGCTTATCCCTCCACTCACATGGTGTGGGAGCTCTTCCACCATGGATGTCCTGGCCTGCCATTCATAATGAGGAAAAAGAAATAATGATCACTCTGTATTCTTGAGTGGAATGGGGGAGGACTATAGCTTTTCCTGATCTGAATCATAAGGATTGCTTTTCTAATGAGTGGTTATAAATAAATAAAACACATTGCATGGTAATATGACCTGAAAGTAGGCTGTGCCACCGCAGTAGAAAAGTTGGTTTGTTAATGTATATATACATTTGCCTTCATTGGTTTAATCAAAACTGCAGATCACATATCCAGTACACATTTAATATTAATATTGTACTTTAAAAAAAAATGCTTCACAGGTGGATTATAGCCCTATTTGCTAACGTTCGGAAAATGTTCCCATAGGATAAGAAAATACATTACCACTCCCTGAAGGCAACTTTGAAAACAGTGGATGCATGAGTAACTTCTTGTGCAAAATACATGACTCTTGTATATATCTCCCTACAGATCACTATGTATCTGTGTAATTCCCTATCCACGTCTGCAGCCTCCCCAATCAGCTTCAGAGAATTGGGGGACAATCAAGGACATTGTGGAAGGTAGTGTGGGGCACTGCAAGGGCAGAGTCCTGAGGCACCCCACAAGTGAGAGCCCAGGGGTCTGGACACTCATTCCCCCCCCCCACTTTCTGGACACAGTCCAGGAGGAAGGAGCAAAACCACTGTATAACAGTGCCCCCAGCTCCTTTAGACGGTCCAGAAGGATGTCATGGTCGAGAGCCCATCACCCAGCCCTTCCTGGCTCGCTTTTATGACCCAGGGCAAGGATCAAGGAGACAGGTGGTCGGTTTCACTCATCCAAGCAGCCTATCCACATCCTTGGAGGTAACAGATTGGAACTGATCCCACACAAGTTAACTAGATAGGACTCTGGCACTCTCCTGCCCCGGCCCTGCTCCCACGGTGGTGTCTACCTCTTTCCGAATCTGAGCAACTTTATCTGCAAAAAACTTTGCAAAATCATTGCAGGAGATCTTGGGGTCGTCACCAGGCATCAGTGGTGGAGGTGGTTCTGTTAGATTGCAAACCACCTGAAAGAGTCTCCTGCTGCTGTTTTCGGCAGATGCAATAGAGGTGGTGAAGAAGGTCCTCTTCGCCGTCACTATTGCCACTTGGTAGGCTTGATGTTTAGCTCTAACCCGTGTTCGGTCAGATTCAGAATGAGTTTTCTGCTGCTGGTGTTCTTGCCGTCTCAGCGATTGTTTCATCTCCCTCAGCTCTGGGGAAAACCATGGGGCTGTCCGGGCTCCATGCAATCGGAGAGGGTGCTTCGGAGCCAGACAGTCAATGTCCCTGGTTAACTCCACATTCCAGCGGACCACCAGGGAATCAGCTGAGAGGCCATCAACATGGGATAAAACATCCCCTACCACTTTTTGGAAACCATTTGCATCCATTAAGTGGTGGGGGTGGACCATATGAATCGGTCCCACCTCCCTGCAGAGCAGAAGGGTTGTGACTTTGTCTTCACATGAGTGTGTAAACTGATGACTTACATCTCAGAAAATGCTTTTGCAATTTTACCTCAAAATATGCTTCATTTTAACAGAGGAAAATACCAACCAATGGAGGTAGTGCAGCTGATGTTAAGTTTAACTTTACATTGCCAAGATAACTATGAGTAATTAGATAGATCTAAACTTTACAGCAGATACTAAGAATGACTAAGCCAAGGCCTTGATTGGTAAGGGCAGAGGAGTAAAGTAAGCTGTTCTGCATTGTACTGTGGGTAGTTATACAAGCTGTGAAATGCATAAAGAAAGCAGGAGTAATAACATTTTCTGGGATTTGAGGAGGAAGAAAACAAATGGGTAGATTTATTATTATACAGTAGTGCAATATCTCATGAAAGATGAACTTGATGAATTGCTTCACAAATCACGAAGAGTGTTAATAATAATGACAGAATGTGAATACTTAGTGTTTGAAGAAAGCTGGAGATTTGTTATTTATAATATCAGCAAATTCAAAATTGGGAGAGTTCAGCATCTAGTCTCCCCTTCAACCTAAAAGTTGTTCAGAGTTCAAGCCCAGTTCATACCGAGCTCACCTGCAGCCTGATATATCTGCCAGTCCCCTCACTGTCCAAGGAAATTTCCCCATGTGAGGAAAAGGGGCAGAAACCAGCAGTGGGGAGGGCTCTCTGGTGACCCTGTTTCATCCTTAAGGGCTGGATACTCCTGAAAATGGATCTATTTCTGTGAAGGGCTTCAACAGCAAATAATAGGTACAGTCAAACCTCGTTCTGTGTCCACCTCCGTTTGCGTACGCTTCGGCGAACAGGTTACTTCCAGGTTCGCCACTCACTCATGCGCAGAAGTGCTAAATCACACTTCGCGCATGCACAGATGCTGCACTTCGATGTGCATCATTTTTCGGGTTGCAGCAGGGTCTCTGAAACAGATCCCCGCCGTAAGCCGAGGTTCCACTGTATAACAGGAATGAGTGGGAAGATGTTGAACTGCCCACCATAAAACTGCTGGTGTTCCAGCTGAAGTGACCTCTCCCTGTCCAAACTGACACCATCAGACTATTCAACAATCATCCTTCCCTAAGAGCAAGGGTTGGGGAATCAGTAGCTCTCTAGATGTTGGACTACCTATCACCTCTGGGTCTGCTAGCTGGGGTTGGTCAGAGATTGATTCTAACAATATCTGAAGGGCCAGCGGTTCGCCTCCCCTGCCCTAGAGAGAGAAGAAATATGACATTCAAACAGGTTTTCCCCCTCCTGTATCTTGCCTTTACTGTTTCATTGATTTGATGTTCTATAGAAATCATTTTGTCAGGTTCTCCTGAAAAGCAGCCTATGAAATCTATAAACAAACGAACAAACAATAGTTTAAAACTGTTTCTCAGCTGGGAAGGGGGAATTATGTTCCATCGGAGAATATTTGCCAGTGCATGCAATTTATTTTGCAATATGTAGGTCAGGAAAATAGATAAAGAGGAAACTCTGGAAGTTGATTTTTTCTGGCCTTACATTGTACATAACTAACACTAACTTCAGTAGACTTGCACATGGGTATTTACAGAACGGCTTGTGTTGAAAACCCGTGTGTTGTAGTGGTCAGAGGGCTCCCTACTCAGCCATGAAGCTCACTGGGTGACCCAGGGATAGTCACTGCCTCTCAGTATAACCCAGGGCAGTCCAACCTCTCAGTACAAGTGGGCCACAAGAGTACTTTGACACAGAACCCAGGGGCCACTCACTTAATTGAATTTTGCAATATTGTTAACATTATTTCATACAGACAAGTAATATATTTATTTAATTAAATATATATAATCAAATACACAATTAATACTATTAATTAATATATTAAGCAGATCATAGCCATTTTTTTTAAAAAAAGAAGTGACCGAAAAGATCCAAAAACAAGGAGACTGCAGAGCATAAGGGGAGTTGCTGGGTGCAGGCAAGACCATGAGCAGGAAAGAGAAGGGTGAGGGAGAAAACAAGAGAGTTTTTACTGGCTTTTGGTGGAAGAACAAGGGCTGGGAGAGAGGAAAAGAGCATGTAAATGAGCATCTCTTATAAAGGGACACAAAAGCAATTGGGCCAATGCATGAGTTTGGAAACTTATTTGTTTGTTGCTGTAGTAATACCAAGCCTACAAGTCCATTTACCTTTTTCAGTCTGAGAGACTGCATCCAATGGCAGACAGAATCTTAACAATATTCTATTGAACCATCAACTCAACTACCAATAGATTTCCCTGACCAGCAATCTCATAGACTCCTCATGTGTTAGTTTCCTTTTACAGGGTGATGGGTGAAATCTTTGTCTTTTAAGGGTAAAAGACAAGTTGCCTGGTATTTTGATCAAATAAAAGCTCTGCAGTCATCTTGTGTTAGATTTCCAAAATTTATGGCAAGCACAGCAGAAAAAAATTCTTTATTTTCCCCCTCCTGTGTGACAGCTGAAACCTCTTCCACAGATGACTCTGTCATTATGCACCGTCTGTTTCTTTACATTAATGGGCCGCAATGTATGCAGGGAAAATTAATCTTAGGAGAGCCAACATTATTTCATGCTTCATTACATGAAATGCCTCCTAACTCTTTGATTATATGTAAAAAAATTGCCCCCGAGGAAGGAAAAACCCCCTCAAAAACCTAGCCTATGATGTACAAACTAATGAATTCTCATTAGATGAGATGCAATTTCTCATTATTTTAATTTTTCCTTACAAGAACTCAGTGTGGAATGAAAGCTTAGCTACTGTTTCATGTGAGACACACTTAGATGCACTTAAGTGGAAACTTATCTATAAACTGGGTTGTCAATATAAGCTTAGTAATAGTATTATCCTTACTAGATTATTGCTAACAAATGTAAGGTTTATACAGTGGTACCTCGGGTTAAGTACTTAATTCGTTCTGGAGGTCCGTTCTTAACCTGAAACTGTTCTTAACCTGAAGCACCACTTTAGCTAATGGGGCCTCCCGCTGCTGCATGATTTCTGTTCTCATCCTGAAGCAAAGTTCTTAACCCGAGGTACTATTTCTGGGTTTGCGGAGTCTGTAACCTGAAGCGTCTGTAACCTGAAGCATATGTAACCCGAGGTACCACTGTGTAGTATATGACAAATCAAGTGCAGTTTTAAAAAAGTGTTTGATAGGATTCAACAGAGTTGTAGTAGCAACAAACTCTGCTTCACAACATATTGGTGGTGGTGATGATGATAATCCTTCCCTTTCTCCCAAAGAAACACAGGGTGGCAATCATATCCCACATCCTAGTTGCTCCCCATCCCCAAACTAAAAATCTCCTAAATCTCTAGCCTTTCTTTTATGAAAAAGGTGAGACTCCTAATAATAGGTATGTGGACACAATAGTTTTAGGTTAACTGAATACCAGCTATGTCCAGGAAATTTTGGACACATGGCAACCCTAGTATAACTACAAAATACAAAATATTGTCTATTCCAGGTCACCCAACCACTGTCACAGTGTCTTTTCTCCTGGCAGATCAAGAGGAGGAGATGACAGCAAAGGTTGCAAGGCTTTTAGCTGGGGCAATCAGAATAAGGTCCACTATCTGACTGCTGATTCAGGATCCTAAACTTTTTATTTTGTTCTGTCTATATCACAATTTTTTGTTGCTATGGCTGACGCAAATAAAGTTTCATTCATTCATTCAAAATACCATGAAATAACCTAGATTTCCAAAAGCAAGCCAACAGGTTCGCAACAGCATATTTTAATATGTTGTGTCCCCGCCCCCAACTTTGCACACACAGGGCTGTGTGTGTGTGTAGCTGCTACTTTTGTTCATTTAAAGAAAAAGTGCAATAATTATTTTTTTTTAATATGGTGATGCTTCAATGTCAAAAGGTTTTTTTGGGGGTAGTAGTAGTCTGCCCTGCAACTTCCCCCAACCCCCTGCTTATCCCCCTTCCACGCTTATAATCTCTCCACACCCCAGTGGATGTTTTAGCTTGTGGTTACAGAAGCATGTTTACAAGGGAAGCTTCCTTTGCAGACAACTGGGAGTTAATTCAGAGCAGAGAAGAGGGAAATGGTTAAGCACTCTGCTCCATCATTGCTTCTTTTGGTTTCCGTATGGGAAAACATGTAAACACTCCAGCAATTCTGGATGAATAGTCACTGGTGTATAATCTCTCTGTATTATCTTTTATGGAGCATTAATTCTGATTTGTTTACATAGTGTAACCTCTGTGTAAGCTTCTTGCAAGCAAATCAGGATGAATGCTGAATAAACCAGTCATCTAGAGAATCTTGATGACCACTGAGTAAATCAATAATCTATGGCAGGAATGTCCAACCGGTCGATCGTGATCTACCAGTTGGTCGCAGAACGTCCCTGGTCGATCTGGGTCAATCGGCCAAAAGGGGGGGGGGAGCTCAACAACTATGGTCAATCCAATGGTTAGATCACTGCCAGATTTTTTATATAGTGGGAGTAGATCACAGTCTCTTGGGAGCTGGACATGCCTGATCTATGGCATGTGTAGTGAACTGCATTATAGGCAAATTTTAGGAAACGTGACTGGTTTGATGCAGTGGGCAGTGAGCCTAGGGAGTGCCACAGGGTGCCACAACTATGAAGTAGTGAACTGAGCAGACCAGCAGGTGAGAGGCAAAGGGCGACACCAAATTTAGGCCTTGCCACTGAAATTTGAAAGACCAAACTCCATCCCTGACTACTTGCTATTTGAAAACAGGGAGGGTTTCCTTAAAAGAACAGGGCTAACTTCAGCTTTGTCCCTTCTCTGTACTACTGAGAAAACACTTCATTAAACATATTAAAACTGACCATGCTTTCCTTCTTAAAAGAGCATTGAAAAGAGAATACCTGAGACTGAATTCATAGCCTTCATGCTTTCAGAAAGAGAGAGAAAGAACGCACTCACACAAAGGACCCAAGATGTAAAATGATTGGATACATGGAGGTAAATAATGGGACAGTTTCTAATCCATATTTCAGGGTCTCCAAGGGCTTGACAGTAACAGGTTTAGAATGAAAATGTTGCTAAATAACCCCAATATGTCTACCATAAAGCCATTATGCATTGTCTTTATTACATGCAAATTGCCTAGGCCCTGCCAGGTCATACTGATGCAAACCTTATTGCTGAAGGTTGCCAGCACCAGTAGAGAGATAATGGAAGGAAATGCCTTAACAAATGCCTTATCCTAGTAAAACGGTACAGGAAAATGCACCAGCTGAATGCACAATTCTCTTGGTATCATTATGCTGTGCATGCAGTCAAGTTGGTTTATAGTACAGGTGCTGCTTCCTATTAGATAATGGTTCATAACTGATTTTAATAGCGTGGCTTACTGGAGCATGCTGATACAATGTTGCCTCAAGGTATTTGTCATAAATGTTGAGGAAATTCCTGTACAACATCAGAATTATGTGCTCATATAACGGTGTCCTTTTTTCATTAAAGTAGCACATGGCCATTAATTATTTGGTGGGACATTTAGTAACTCCTATAAAACCTTGCTCTTTTTTAAAATTATGTGTCACAGTCTATAGTCTACTTCCAGTGGTTTACAGCAAAGGGTGGGGGGAAATCTACGGAGTCAAAGGCATAGAATTGGGTTACATTTTTGCTTTAAAGAAAGGTTAAACTTAAAGCACATCTCACTTTATAAAAGTTCCCTCTTATTAAAGATAGACTGCTTGTAAGGTGCCATGGAAATACTGAATTGGTGGACAGTATAGTATAAATACTATAAATACATAAATAATGATTCTGTGATGTGTCAGGTTGAACATAGCCCATTGACCATGCATATTGGTAAAACTGCCTGCAGAATCAGGAGCCAGTGTGGTGTAGTGGTTAAGAGCGATAGACTCGTAATCTGGGGAACCGGGTTCGTGTCTCCGCTCCTCCACATGCAGCTGCTGGGTGACCTTGGGCCAGTCACACTTCTTTGAAGTCTCTCAGCCCCACTCACCTCACAGAGTGTTTGTTGTGGGGGAGGAAGGGAAAGGAGAATGTTAGCCGCTTTGAGACTCCTTCGGGTAGTGATAAAGCAGGATATCAAATCCAAACTCTTCTTCTTCTTCTTCTTCTTCTTCTTTGGCAGTCAACCTGGTCTAGGTTCGAAAGGCACTTCACTGCTGCTGAACAGTTCTGAGTTTGGCCATGGTCTGGATGGGGAATCACTGGGAAATCACCTATGTGGCACATTACATTCAGTTCTGTCATGGACAAAAGGTGGATATAAAATGTAATAAAATGAATTGTGTTTCAGTGGTTACACTCCTAGAACTTGGCCAAGATCTCCACCCAGTTTTGTTCCACTTAAGTTTCAGTTTAGTGTCAATGAAGATCATTCATTCACATATTCAGAACCTTTATTCAGAACCTTCTGTCTGAGTGTGAGCATGGGACTCAGCTACATTACTGTAGTAAAAAAAAAACAGTGTTTTGAATGCATTACAAATATGGAACACCAGATGGCGTTGTAGAGCACAAAACTTTTCTATGTGATTTTACATAGTGTTTTTTTCCTTTGGTTATAACGATTTAATTTATGACTTATTTATTGCATTTTTTCCTGTGTGTAGATCTACCCATGTATTTTCTAGAAAAAGAGGTGCCGGAGCTCACCATGAACTTCTCCCTTGGCTTGTTCTCTTTCAATGGCAATGGTACCCACCTGAGAAGTGCCAGAGCTGAGTTCTGGTGAGCTCTGTCTGAAAAGAAAAGCCCCAACTGTATATCATTCCCACTATAAACAAACAAGACATTCATCTTAGTATCAAAACCCATGTGTTAAGAATGCTACACAAAATAACATGTTCTTGCATATTCAGGAAGATGGGAGGGGCCGTTGTGGTGGGGAGATGTCTTGAGGGTAAGTAGAAAAGGAAAGCCATGTGGGCAAAAAGTAGTTCGCCACCACTATAAGATTGAGGTGTTCAGAAGGTTAATGTAGAAAGGCAGTCAGCTGAGACGTTTAAAATTCCAAGTCTGCCTTTCACAGTTTTTGTTATTACCTACCCCAGCAGCAATTTCTATGCAGGTGCTTGCTATTTCCAAAATGTTACAGATCAAGAGACCCATCTTATAAATAAATTATAAGGGATTTATTACTAGTGACCCAAATATATGCTCACAGATCTCAGGAGGTCTGCAAGGAGACACATTTCACAGTGTGCATGTGAGGTTTAGTAGCATCTTTAAAAATGCAGGTAAGTGAGATTTGTTGAACAACCAATGTAGCCTTTTTAAAAAATAAAAATAAAAATCATGTTAAATGAAGCATACTAGCATATTTCCATAAATCATTCTCATGGAGCAAATTATTCAGCAAGAAGTGCTGCGTTTTCAGGATGCAGAAGGTCACATGTCAATCAAACAAAAACTGATGAAACTAGTTAAAGATCAATTCTGTAATCAAACCTCAGCTACTTGGATAACATTTACTGGGAAGCAGATCTCTAAAAGATGCCAGAGAAGGCTTGTTGGAAACAGAGGGAACTTCACTAGCTGGGGTCAAGTGATCAGTATGTGTAATGGGGTAGGAACAGAATTTATTTTATTTATGTCCCAACTTTCCTAAAAAGTTCAAGGTGGGTAACAAAAGAAAGAAAATACACAAATGCAACACAAACTACAAATGCAATAAAAAAATCCTTAAAAGCTATCTAAAAGAAACAAGGACCCTAGATCACAGGAAGGTTAAAAACAATAGGAACAGGGTAGGAACTGAGTCACACGCTTCCTGAATGCTCTGACTATATATTTTGATCACTAGTAATAAGTAGATGCCTTGAAGTGTAACTGTTTAGAAATAGCCAGTCTTTACATATGGAAATTGCTTTTATTTAACTCTGACAAATTCGAAATTAGCAATTGGGAACAATAAGCACTTGGAGAATAGATTGGGCAAGTGTCATATAACTTTCTCCAACCCATTCATACATGGACAGAAATCTAAATCATATACTTGGCACATAAAGCTCTTGGTTCAATTGCTGGCATCTCTAGGTAGAGTTGGGAAAGGTTTCTATATCTATATCTATATCTCTCTATCATCTATCTATCTTATGTGGTATGTATCCTGCATACTATAATAGAACATTGAGATACCGTATTTTTCGCACTATAGGACGCACTTTTTCCCCTCCAAAAATGAAGGGGAAATGTGTGTGCGTCCTATGGTGCGAATGCAGGCTTCACTGAAGCCTGGAGAGCGAGAGGGGTCGGTGCGCACCGGCCCTCTCGCTCTCCAGGCTTCAGGAGAGCCCCAGCGCCAGCCCCACAAGGTCGGGGGACAGAGGGAGGCGGAACGCCGCCATCCCGCTGTCTCCCGAAGTGGTTTGGAGGCTGACGGCGGGGAGAAGAGCGCTTCTCCCCGCTGCCTGCCCCCAAGCTCCGGGGACAGCAGGGAGACGCAGCGCGTCTTCCCGCTGTCCCCGGACCGGATGTGAAGGCGGGCGGCGGGAGTAGAGCGCTTGTCCGCGCTGCCTGCCCCAAGCTCCGGGGACAGCAGGGGACGCAGCGCGTCTTCCCGCTGTCCCCGGACCTGATGTGAAGGCGGGCGGCGGGGAGAAGAGCGCTTCCCCGCTGCCTGCCCCCAAGCTCCGGGGACAGCAGGGAGGCGCAGCGCGTCTTCCCGCTGTCCCCGGACCTGATGTGAGGCGGGCGGCGGGGAGAAGAGCGCTTCCCCCCGCTGCCTGCCCCCAAGCTCCGGGGACAGCAGGGAGACGCAGCGCGTCTGCCCGCGGGCCCCGGACTTGATATCAAGGCGGGCGGCGGGGAGAGCAGCGCTTCTCCCCGCTGCCTGCCCCCCAGCTCCGGGGACAGCAGGGAGACGCAGCGCGTCTTCCCGCTGTCCCCGGACCTGATGTGAAGGCGGGCGGCGGGGCGCAGAGCGCTTCTCCCGCTGCCTGCCCCCAGCTCCGGGGACAGCAGGGAGACGCAGCGCGTCTTCCCGCTGTCCCCGGACTTGATATCAAGGCGGGCGGCGGGGAGAGCAGCGCTCTCCCGCTGCCTGCCCCCAGCTCCGGGGACAGCAGGGAGACGCAGCGCGTCTTCCCGCTGTCCCCGGACTTGATATCAAGGCGGGCGGCGGGGAGAGCAGCGCTTCTCCCGCTGCCTGCCCCCAAGCTCCGGGGACAGCAGGGAGACGCAGCGCGTCTTCCCACTGTCCCCGGACCTGATGTGAGGCGGGCGGCGGGGAGAAGAGCGCTCTCCCCGCTGCCTGCCCCCAGCTCCGGGGACAGCAGGGAGACGCAGCGCGTCTTCCCGCTGTCCCCGGACCTGATGTGAAGGCGGGCGGCGGGGAGAGCAGCGCTCTCCCGCTGCCTGCCCCCAGCTCCGGGGACAGCAGGGAGACGCAGCGCGTCTTCCCGCTGTCCCCGGACCTGATGTGAGGCGGGCGGCGGGGAGAAGAGCGCTCTCCCGCTGCCTGCCCCCAAGCTCCGGGGACAGCAGGGAGACGCAGCGCGTCTTCCCGCTGTCCCCGGACTTGATATCAAGGCGGGCGGCGGGGAGAGCAGCGCTTCTCCCCGCTGCCGGCCCCACAAGCGCCTGGGGGGGAAATAATTTTTTTTCCATTATTTCCCCCCCAAAAAACTTGATGCGTCCTATGGACCGGTGCGTCCAATGGTGCGAAAAATACGGTACTTCAGAAAACAGCGCTTCTTGAAGAAGATGGAAAAACATACTGAAAGGTCACCCTGTAGCAAAAAGCCTGGTGGTGAAATAAGTCCTTGGTTATAATATTATCTTAAAGAGTCTTGCCTTGACTGTTTGATTTATGGATTCAGTCAAGCATTTTAGCTGTTTGCTAATTGTAAGTTCAAATTAGAGATGGTGCAAGACTTTGAACGAGGGGAGCTCGTATTGTGAGTCAGCCTGGTCTTGTTCTAGCTTGGCCCAATTTGAAATGGGATTTTTACCCTGTCCCCGCCATTGCCCAACTCAGGATCCTCCTCCTTCAAACAAAATAGAGCCCTGCCTAGCAGAAAACAGGTAGCTGGCAAGGTTGGGCAGGTTTCCCTTCACTGAAAAATGGTGCTTTCAAAGCTTGAAAAGCCCCCTGATCTGTGGCAAGAAAAGGCGCTTGGAGTACCAGTCTCAGCTGAGGAGAGGCGCTGTGAGTAGTGCCTGGTGACGCTCAAGATGATGATGGTGATGGGTGTGTGTTTGCTTAGGGAGAAAGGGAGGGCAAACTTGCAGAGGTCACCTTTTCAGGCTTCAAGTATTCCCAGGAAATGCTTAAAAAAAATCTCACCAAAACCCCAGAGGTTTTTCAAGCATTCAACAGGAACGCTTGACAAGCACCAATGGTGTTTGGAGTGAACCAGGAAGAGAGGACTTGGCCCTTGCTATGCAGACGCTGCTTAGTGGTAATACAAAGCAGCGTATCAGTGCTTTAAATTGAATAAAAAAACTAATTAATACTTTGCATTACTAAATAATGCAAATCAGTTCCAGGATGTTTTGCATATAGTTTCCCCCCGCAGATAGATGATAGATAGATAGATGATAGATAGATAGATGATAGATAGATAGATAGATGATAGATGGAGCAGGAAGAAATAATATTTTATCTGTAATGTATCAGGAAGAGGGTAGTGGTGTTTTGTGGGCGTAAAATATGCTTATCTAAAGGAATCTTTTAGCATATCTATCTTGCAGTTAGCTGTTGACTTGTACAGTTGCTATGGTAAATATTAGTTCATTATCCCACCCTTTTAGCATATTCATATACAATTTTTTCTCTCTCATTCAGACTCATTGGTTTCCACTGATAATGAGAATACTCACTAAGAGGTCACTTCTGACTACACTTTTGACAAATGATTGAGTTGAAAACGTATAAACCTAGAGATAATAAACTTTGTGGCCACATTTGGACGATCATCTAAGGCTTCATAAACCATGATTTATAGCAGCACACTCCTCCATTCCTCCTCCCCTATTTAGCTTTGACTGAGCTGTGACTCAGGCTATTTTTTTAAAGTAGATTTCATTAAATCCACCGTATATGCCTCTGCAGAGTCTTGTTTTATGTTACAAGCTATAGAAAACATATTCAGAAGATGCTTCTACATATTGCATGCAGGGTAAATTCATATTCTGAACCAGGATTGTGAAATTTAATGACATTTCCCCCCTTGTAATTTAAAGAAAAAATGGGGGGGGCAGTTTCAAGTTACCCTAGTTTATCGCTTCTCTGGTTATGAAGTCACTTTTGATTGTCAAAATGTCAGGATTTTAATTCTCCCTAATGTCGTGCCTTTACTTCATCAGTGTGGTCAGTTTTGTTCACCAATCCAAATACTCTCTCAATAATACTTCATAGCCAATAGAAACTGACATTATGTGCTGAAGAAGTCTGTAAAATGCTTGGCACAGATACAGATTCCATTTCCTCTCTCTCTCTCCACCAATCTTTACATGTATTTTCAGTTGTAGCTATCAAATATATCACTTCTGTTACAGAAGCAAGCTCTTACTGTAACAGCTCCTACAGGACATTTGCTATGCTTTCATTGCTGCTGAAAGGTGACAAGTTTTACGGGATCGATGTTTCAGAGTCAAATTCTGAAATGGAAGCGGTCTTACAGTGTAGGAAAAGGATTTCTGGAGTCCTTTCTTTTGGGTGAGTGTTCTTTTGATGGTCACTAGGGAGCAAACAATCTAGCTTAGGGTCATTATGCTTAATGCATATTGTGCAGTTACAGTTCTAAATGAACTACAGCCATTGATTTTAATTCTTTCATCCCTAGCCATGGCAACCTGAACCTGCACTTCTCCCAGCACACAGCTACAAGATTCAGAAGGAAATGGCCATTTTTGTTCTTTTCTCTTTTTCAACCAACCCTTGTAACTGTATAGATAAGGGCCATTTATTCCAGGATGTACTGTGGCTGGGGAGGAAAGAGATCAGCCACATGCTGTATACTGGGATTCCAGTAACAGCTCCCTGCCTCTGACAGCTGTGGTTAATTTACGAAAAGCAAGAAGTAACTGCATGCAGCAAATTAAGCTAAAATATAATTGAGGTACATATGTGCTCACTAAGGCCTTACATGATGTCCACAGGATCTCACCTCTCTGGCTGCGACCCACTGGAATTTGGCTTCAAGGAAGCACTCTGTTGTAGCCAATAGAATAGGTTGCTTGGTGTTTGTGGTATGTCTGTACTGCTTGTGACAGTTTCTTTGGTTTGCAAATGTGCCCACAGGAGCAAAAATGTTGGTGTTAGAAGGCTGGAAGCAAGGTTGCTATTCTAGCATAAAGCAGAACAGCAAAGATCAGGTGCTGCTGAATCATCATTCCCCACTCACTTTATTATCATCATCGCCCTGCCATGTTAAGTAGCTTGTGCTGAAGTACAGTAACTGCCCCAGTAATTAAACCTGGCTCTCCTCACCCTAGTTCAACCGCCGGGCAGGATCTCAGTGGCCTAAGGAGATCAGCTAATTCTAGGGAACCTCTGGAGCTCTTCCTGCTATCAGGTAGCTTCACTGAGTTCTGGGTGAGACCTAGGTGGAGAGTCGGCTGGAGAAGGAGCTAATCTGTGGAATTCTCCAACAAATTTTGCCCATTCCTAATTGAGATCTGTTGCTTGTTTCCCCTCTCCCCCACTTCTTTCTTTGCAATCCTTTTTATTATAACCCCCCCCCCCAATTCCTTTCAATCTCTCTCAAGTTCCAGAGATTTCATTTCCCCCGATACTTGATCAAACCCTTATTGCTAATCGGTAAACACTTCCTGCTAGAATATGCTGACAATGCAGCTTTATTGAAACATGTCTATGCAATCATATTTCCTATTTGAGGAAATGTTTTGGCTTCTTTATCCTTTCAGTCAATCAGAATCTTTTCTGGGAAAATAGTTCCATGTCCATTTTTCTTTTTGCCGGTGCTGTTGTTGTTCCACAAAAGCTTATTACATTTACTGCTGAATGCCATCTGCTTCTAGATACTATAGATTAGTGAGAGCTGTGGCATGCCTTTTGAAAAAGGCATATAACACTGTGATGTATGGTGCACCATTATGATCCAAGATCATTTTAAACTTCTTTACTTGAATGCATTCAGCTGATCTTCTTTTTTAGAAGCTGCAGTATCAGCATGGCAAAGCCAGCTCAAGTGTGAAGTGAACTTATTCTGAAATGGGGGGGGGGGAGTATTGTTATAAGATACTTATGTTGGTTGTGCTGTTCCTCATACCAGCTTCACACTGATTGAGTCCTTAAGAGGTTCCTAATTCATCTCTAGCCAAGATGGGAAAATCTTCTCACAGGGCAAAGACATCCTCGCCCTGTCAACACTCCCTGGTATGAACCCAAACAGAAGCAAATTTAAGCCTTGCTGATGTGAACGGCTGGGAGCGGGGAAGACACACACACACACACACAGAGAGAGAGAGAGAATTTGAGAGATGCTACCTTCTACCTTCTACCTGCACTGAAATGATAATCTCATGGCAGAAGAAAATGAAGCCATATGAATCTATCCCAATGGTTGTTGAGGGGAGATTAAGGAGTGTGGGGCTCAACAGGGGGCAGACAGTAATTACAAAGTCATCAAGGGAATATAAGAGAAATGGCCCCTGGGTCACTAAAATGTGATTTGTTTCTCTGTGGATGTTGTGTTATTTGTTACATTTCATAATCTTTAGCTTGATTTTCTGGCATCTCTAATATTGATTAGAGGGTTTTAGACATTGTCTCTAGGCAACTGATGCTATTCTAGTACTGTATTTAAAAAACCCAAATGCTTTTAGAACAGTAAGTTCTTTTTATGGAGTAGGCAGTCCTCATTATTATTACTTCTTTCACACTGACTACAGAACTGCATATTTAGACGACTGAAGCAGTGGAAGGGGGGTGAATTACATGTTCATCCCCCCATGTTTATGTTTTTAAATGATGCATGACAATATCCCTTGTTAAGTGGTGTGTGTGGCAATAATTCTTATGTTCTTGGATGAAAACAGGTCATAAGATATCTTTTGTCAACTTGGCATATCACTGATGTCGTGGAAAGCTTTAGGGATACCTATGTAAAAAAGAAATGCCAATGCTTTCTTGAGCCAAGATTTGTTCTTGGCTATATAACACATGGTTAGTGAGGAGAGAGTTCAGCCATGAGCCCAGGTTAAGCTAAGATGATAATCCAAGATTTGGTTCAGCACATTGTAACACGAGATCAAAAGGGGGGGGGGGACTGAAGAGGATCGTTGTGGATGTAACAGCTTCTCACATTCCTGGAAAGCCACAATTTGACTTAACATGATGTCTGAACCTGGCCTTTATTTTACAATTTAATGTCAATGCCATACCTGTTGGACTCACGAGAGAGAAAACCCAAAAGGTATGGGCAATTCTTGAACATCCTGGTTACTACACATTCGTTTACAGTTTGCCTAGCAACTGGGGTATGAGAATTTATCCATAAATGGTGAACTAAAACAAACCACCAAGAAAGCCCACCATTCACTTGTCACCTACCTTGCTTCAGTCAGCAGGAGCACTCTGCAGAACATCTGAATATACAGAAAGTCTTTGGTTGGGATAGGTATTGACTGACTACCGAATATTCATTACTTCTTTTTGAAGTTTCTTCGCAGAATTGTTTTGTGCTCTAAATTTGTTTGGCTCCAACCTAAAGCTCCTTCCTCACCCCTCCTGGCTTCCTCAATGAAAATATTTTTACCTTTTCACCTTTGGATTCATCCTTGCAATTCACGTGAACTGGACCCTTCTTTTCTCTTTCTTGGAGGTGAAGTGCTATGGACTAGCATTCGGTATATCAAAATATGCTGTGTTATAAAAAGCTCTAGTTCAATAGCGTGCTGCAGTCTCTTGTGTTGTGACCCATATAATATTAATGAAATATTTCAATTAAGCCGACAGTCCCATTAACTTCAGCGGGAACCTCAAAACCCTTCTGCTATGACTGTTTGGGAATGAATAAGTTGCAAGGCAAGTTATAATGTTGAACATGTTTGTGGATTGGGGTTAAAATATTGATCCTCCTGCCTTCATAAAAACTTGTCAATGAGACTGAAACAGAAATGCATTAACCAGCAAAACTATTAGCTTGTTTAAACACTGGTAAAATTATAAACCAGTACAGTATTGGCTTTCATGTAGTCAGCATCAGCATTTTCTAGCATAATTTTTCAAGTGCATTGGATTTTCAACTATCACAACATTCATGGATCATATTTCCTAAGGTGAAGCAATATATTTCTGCAGATACCTAAAATAATGTTCTGATTTTTTTTTTTAACCCTTTCGCCCTTTTTCACTTTATCTGTCATCAGATAAGGGAGTATGAAAAGAACCATTGCATGGTTGTGGAGTATCTGCATTGCAATATCATCTAGCATCCCCACAAACAAATCAGTGATTGATGAATTAAACTAGTTGTCTGGAAGCAACTGGGTCTTCCACAGTCCTTCTGCAGCACAGCACTATTTATCTTCAGCTTCAGAAGAAAGGAAGTGTGTGTGGGGGGGTGTCCCTTCCATCAGTGCATAGATTCCTAAGCCCAGAGCACAGAGCTGGCTTGTAAGTTATATTTAGATGCTTTCCTCTGCAGTAGATTTTGCCAGACATCCTAGATTTAGAGATGTTCTGTCACAAATTACATGACTTTTATAGCAAAATTGACAAGAACCCTAGAGATCCTTGTAAAAAGAATTACAGCCCATAATTCTACAGGAATAAACTGTTTGAAGGCAACTGCTTTCATGAAATATTCTGAAGTGAATAAGGTAGGAGATCTCTATCTTAAAAAAAATAAATCTCTTTTGACATTAGAAGCCATATGCTCATTCTACATTAGAGTTGGGAACCACCAGCACATACTCAGCCCAGGTCGAAATTTTAAGGTAAAGGTAATGGGACCCCTGACCATTAGGTCCAGTCGTGACCGACTCTGGGGTTGCGGCGCTCATCTCGCTTTATTGGCTGAGGGAGCCGGCGCATAGCTTCCGGGTCATGTGGCCAGCATGACTAAGCTGCTTCTGGCGAACCAGAGCAGTGCACAGAAACGCCGTTTACCTTCCCGCCGGAGCGGTACCTATTTATCTACTTGCACTTTGATGTGCTTTCGAACTGCTAGGTGGGCAGGAGCTGGGACCGAGCAACGGGAGCTCACCCCGTCACGGGGATTCGAACCGCCGACCTTCTGATTGGCAAGTCCTAGGCTCTGTGGTTTAACCCACAGCGCCACCCGGGTCCCGGTTGAAAATTTAGTTGCATATAAATTCATTCCTTCTTCCTACACACACACACACAGAGCTTTTTCTTAATCTCAGGAGCCTAATTTATGGAGATGTGGGGTGGGGGACACATTTTGTTCCTAGTGCTGAACAACTGGGAGAATGAATTCTTGCTAATCAGTTCAAATTTACCTCTTCAGTTGACAGTAAGCTACCAGTGCATATGTGTAACATTAAGAAAGACTATTCATTTAGACTGAAACTCAACTCTGCTGTGTGGTGTGTTGACATGCAGAGGGCCAGGAGGCCAGCTGGCAAGCCCCAGCTGGGCTGTTCCCTTCCAGCTGTCCCACTGCAAAGACCATCACTTCTTCTCCGACATAAATCAGTGACCCAGATTTCTGAGCCAGGACACGCTATCAGCAGATCGCACTGTGCACACAGAATAGGCGTGAGGCTTGTGGAAGCATACTACAACTACAGATTTATTAATCATAAATCAGGACAAAGAAACATGTCAACTCTCTCTCATGTCATCTCAGAGTGAAAATGCAAAGGCAAAAGCTATACACACAATGGAAGTTCCCAGCTTACTGTGCTGGAATGCAAACAGACATGTGACACGCAACAATGCCATGTCTTAAGGTGGAATGGAAATGTCAACAATGGCAATTGTCCTGTGGCAATATTCAGAAGTTAAAACAAAGTGTTCTCATGCTAAACACCATAAGTGCTGTTGATAATGCCAAGGTTGCAGGCTTGATCCCTGTATGGGACAGCTGCATATTCCTGCACTGCAGGGAGTTGGACCAGATGATCCTCATTCTATGATTCGAAGTGCCACAGCTTAGGTGAAAGGAAACCATTCCAAAGAGCAATGTCAAAAGCGTAAGAGTTCCTTTGCACTTATATTTGAAATGGCAAGTGTAATATGTTTCAGAACATGGTAATGGATTTATTAGGGTAGTAATAAAATCACATGATGGTTCACTAAGCTAAAATTGCCTACACCTATGGTTTGAAGGAACATCCAGCAGCTGTCTATTTGAAGCTTCTTCACTGCAAGCTTTACTGAGGACACTTTGAGCCAGAGGAAAGCAGGAGACACACAGCAATGCAAGAAAGGGAAGAACTGAGGTGCTGGCATAGAGTTGGTAGGGGTGGTCCAGGCTGCAGATATGGTGACCTCCATTTCAATTAGAGAGGAGGAAAGTGCATAAAATAAGGTAAAACTTCTGGGAAATAACAGTTGTGAAATGTTATATTTTAGGAGTGTGCACCAGCCACAAGATTAGACTTGCATCTGTAGCCACAGCTTTGAGAAACAGCCCAATCTCTTTCTGTGTCCTTCTGATCTGACTCATTTTTCAGAACCAAATTAGATCTGTTATATGATGTTTAGCAATCTTAATCCCCCCTATGAAGTACCTTGTGAGTTCTGTCTTGTGTTTGCTGAAAAATGCATATCGGGCTATTTTGCAACGTATGTCAAATGTCAGTCGAATGCCACTCTGCATATTTTCTAGACCTCTTGGCTGCAGGCAGCAACAGCATCTTTAATCCATTTGACTAGAGCTGCAGAAAACTCAGAAGCAGCACCAAGCCTTCCTGCTTATGTATTTTCTTTGTGAGTTGGGGTAGGGGGAAATGGGGCAGAAGTTGATGACTTGAGCTCATTTTCTTTCCAAAGCCATAGATTGGATTATAGTGTCAATACATACAGTACTCAAGTCAACTTGTTTCCATGCAAGAATAACTGTTCTTGTGAGTGCTCCCTATTAAACACAGCTGGAGTGTAACAAGGCTTAGCAGCGTGAAGCAATCAAACAGTTTCCAGTTATAGAAGCTGAGTCGTCCCATCGCCTTTATTGAGCCGTGGAGCATTATTTGTCTTCCGACTGTGTCTTGCCTTTGTAAAAACAGCACAATTAACGCTGATTGTAACTATGGAGGGAGCTGCAGCAGTTGTTGCATTGTAGTGGGTACGGCTCAGGATGTAGTGGGGCTTTCTGCCCTCCCCCATTTTGAAAGCAAAAAAAAAGGAGGAATATTTTAAGACTTTTGATACCAAACACAAACACAAACAATTCCCCATCTAATTATTAAATCGCCTCCCCTACAGCTGTCCCCCCCCCGTTTGATTGTTATGTTTGACATGAACATTTGAATTGCTCTGTCTTTTTGTTTGTTTGTTTCATATTCAAAGTTTTGATAGTCTTCTATAATGTGAATGCCCTTTTATTCACATGCATATTAACCCGCCATGTACGACAGTGCTCTGGCTGCAGCCATAGAGAAGATGTGCTAACTTGACTACCTGTTTTCAGCTGACAGCTGTCAATCATGTCAATAATGAGCAAAAAATGTTCCATCTACTCATGTAAATTACTACCAAAAAAAGCTATAGTGCCATCATGTCATCTTTCAACTTCCCTTCTGTGACCAGAGGATTGCTCCTAATGGGGAAGAGGGCTTGCTAGACTATAGAGCATAATGCAAAACAAAACCATTGCTTTATCCTTGCCCTGTTTCTTGCTTTCCATGGCTCTGCATGGTGTCTTGCAGAAATGGTGGCTTTCACTGTCTCATTTTATTGCTGCCTCACCTGCTGCATTTGTGTACAGTGAAGTCTTCAAATCAGCATGAATATTTATGGCATGTTGATTGGTAAAAGTGTCAACTGCATGGCTGTCCCATTCGGAGGGGGGGGCTGGCTTAGTCCTCTGAGGCTCGGGGCAAGTGTACCCATCTGCCCCCCACCTCACCACTCTGCACGGGCCTGACGGCACCCATAGTCTGGCAAAAAGAAGCAGGTAAACTGAGGGTCACAACTTCATCAACATTTTAAACAATACATCTGCAGAGAGACTGAAAGCTGTGCTGGCCTTTCATGAACTTGCACAGGGGGACAGAAGAGGCTAGACCCACATAAATGCCTGTGGGGTTGTCTGCCCTTTTACCCTAAGGTAAAAGAACCCTTTTACCCTAAGGTTCACTCACTCCACAGACTACTTTCAGGTATCCAAGATATTTTTCCTTACGCAAGTTAATGACAAGATTCCTATCTCATCAACCTGAGAGAGTTAAATAACTGAGGGAAAATCTACCTTCCCCATGGCCCAGCTACACCAAGAGTTCCTGGAAAGGGTGGGCTTCTGGCCCCATCCCCAGCCATTTACAAGGACCCAGCATTTCGTGCTCAATAAGGACTCACTTTGGGCTATATTGGCTGAGGTGGGGAGCTGTGCTGCCAAAAAGAACGAGATCACAATCATACTCATTTCTCCCAACAATCCCTCTGAAAAGTGAGGTTTTGTGGGGAAACCTTTCCCAATGAAGCGCAGATGGAGGTGTGCATTGAGAAATAGCATTAAAAATGTTATGAACAATCAAAAACATTAAAAATAGCAATAAAAGTGTTTGGGTGGTTCACATGGAAATCATGAGCGATAATCTCAGTTTTGGTTTTTTAAAAAAGTCCTCCTATAAGTGATCTAAAAAATCATGGAATTAAGGGCAAAAGTGGTGGCATTGCTAGACATGTGTCATGTGAAACATGAGGAAGCAAGAAGCAGAAATATCTGGGTGGTAATGTGGATTGGGCCATACTACTGATGGTGTGCAAAACCTTCACAAACCAAGCTAAACCTGATCCATCCATTCCTAACTTGCTACAGTGGTACCTCAGGTTAAGTACTTAATTCGTTCCGGAGGTCCATTCTTAACCTGAAACTGTTCTTAACCTGAAGCACCACTTTAGCTAATGGGGCCTCCTTCTGCTGCTGCACTGCCAGAGCCCGATTTCTGTTCTTATCCTGAAGCAAAGTTCTTAACCTGAAGCACTATTTCTGGGTTAGCGGAGTGTGTAACCTGAAGCGTATGTAACCTGAAGCGTATGTAACCCGAGGTACCACTGTATTTCCCACCTGCCTTTATGTTTGACTTTTTCTCCATCCTATCCAGGCTGAGCTTTAAATATTCACCCCGTACAACTCTCTCTCTCTCTCTCTCTCTCTCTCTCACACACACACACACACACTCACACACAGGCATTTCACAGGGGCCACATTCTAACACACTAGGCGATGCCCTTAATGTCCAGGTTGCATCACACCCCTGATGTTTTAACTACAAATGCTTGAGTCCATGTCCTGAGTTTGTAAGCTGATTCTCTGGGGATAACTCGTCACCCCCAATTCCTTCTGGCTACTATCCTTCTATGCAATGCACTTATCCCTTTCCAAAGCAAGCTCACTAGGGATTCTTAAAAACAACAGGAAGAAAACACTTAAATATGCTCACGATTGGAAGATACCATGTACATTAGTACTATCAAGAACAAAACTTTTTAGCTTGGTTATCCTTGAGCTAGCTGTTCCACTGTTTGGGTTGGAGCCCCTTTGCAATTTATGAAGAAATTATTATTGCTTTAATACTGAGGAGAAGGCTCAATGAGTCATGAAAGTGCATACTTGACTTAAATGAGAAGTTGGCTGAAGAAAGCAGGTGTGTGCACAGATTTTCATTTACTAAAATGTTCCAGAGGCAGAAGAACTTTATTTTAATATTGGGTTGAAATGAGAACTGCAGAGGCTCTAATGCATGGATGGAAAGATTCTTCCGTATAACTGTAACAGCTCTGGTGTCTCTTGATTAAAATGTCATTTAATTTTCCACAGCTGTACTCCTGACATTATCATAGACGACCCTGACATTTCCCTGCAGCTACAGCAGGAGAAGAAGCTAGACACCAATGGAGATGTTTCCTTTCCCGGTGTCAGAGCCAATAGAATACCATTATAAACTATCCCAATATTTTTCTTCACAACAGTGTTTTACAATCATTATACTTTGGAACACAGTCCCTAAATAGGAATCACATTCATTCCATTTGTATACTCTCCTGAAACATGTTGCCAGTATTTTTTTAAAATCAAAACTCTTAGGGTTTTCTTCAAAATTGGTCAGAGTAATGCAAAATTCACTTTAGCAGCAACCCATATAGAAATGGATGGATGTGTGAATGTCTATGTTTAACCATATGAATTGGGTGCTTGCCTCCAAAAAAACCCATTGCAAATGCGTATGGAAGTGTAATTACCCTGATTTGTAAGGCATTGCACCTGAGCAATTCACCATATTATCAGAACTGGAGGATGTAGTCACCTAAACATGTTTACTTTCCCCGCTGATTCAGTGTTTATGTTGGATTTGTTATAAGGACTTTGTGGATCTGCCGTGCAGTGATGGTGAGCTGTACAAGCAGGACCAAGACATTTTGGCAGAACTGACACAAACAAGAAAAAAGGCGGAGCAGCATAAGGCAGAAGCAAAGCAGCTGAGCATTCGGATTGAAGATCTAAGAAGAAAATTAAAAGAGGCAGAAAGCAAGGTACTTAGATTGTAATTGTTATCAGATAAACATTAAGTATGCAAATGAATGACAATGCATTTCAAATCATTTATATGTCATCAAGGTTACTAGAGAAATGGGCCATGGTTTGACCAATTTTATTTCCCTTCTCCACACCTGTACCTTCTCTCATCGCTGTGTGTACTCAGGTCTGCTTCAGAAATGCTCTGGATTTGTAAGATTAATTTCTTGCATATAAACCGGTTGTCCAAAAATTAATCTGAACTCCCCTGCAAAATGTGACAGCAATCTTAAAGTCCTATACACGTTAACTTTTCCCCTTCCCAGAAGGAAATAATTTTAGACCACAATGAATTTTTGTCCCCAACCAGGCCAAATAATATTTCAGTTTGAAAAATCTCTGTTACTTTTAATGAATAAATACCATTATCAGCTAGAAGATGTTCATTCTATTCTATTGAACTGTGGGCCACTTCATGTGCAACTTCTATGAGGAATGGTCTAATGGACCGTTTTCACAAACTTTTGAGCTGGGGTCCTCATGCGGGGGTTTGTTAGTTAGTTAGTTAGTTAGTTAGTTAGTTAGTTTCACCTTTAACAGCTGCATGACAGGTAGACCTTTAACAGGTTATGTGTTACCACCTTCTGCCAGTGAGGCAGCTATAGAAGCATGAAGCCATGCTAGGAAAAGTGGCAATCTCCACAGGGCCTCCCTTGTGACGATACATCCACAAACCCCTATTAGTAAAAAAAAAAAAAAGTAAGTGTATGCCCATGGAGCTCATCAAAAAGTGACAGCAAAAATCACTCTGAAGTGAAAATGGTTGTCAGTGCCCACCCTTAGCAGCAGAGTTCTCTGCTAAATCTTGTTGTGGTGTCCTTACAAAGGGATGACTGGACCAACCAGAACCAGCTTCTGTAATTCACTCACTTGCAAGTACAAAATTGCTTCAGGGCCTCTCTGTAGTTTGAAACTTGGCATGCTTCAGAACTTGCCTGTAAAAAAAAAAATTAACAACTCATTTAAGGTTCATTAATTCAGCTCTGTTGGCCTGTGGGCATGGTGCACATCTTCACTTAAATTGGTTTTCACAAGAAAAGGAAAAAAAGGGCTAATCATTTATGGTCAAGCTAGCTAGGCCTTATGGTCCCAAAGCCTTAAAGATCTATAAAACTAATACCAAGCGCAATATAGACAATAATTAGAAAACACTTGATTTTTTAAAAAAATATTCCAATTAGATATGACAGTAAATAACCAGCGCAATTTTATATCTAGATCCATTAAAAATGTATATGTTTGGTAAATTGCATGAGCTTCTTATTACTATGAAATAAAACACCTACTGACAAGTGACTTCCTTGAAAATGTCAAAACATAATTACTTACCCCTTGCTTATAGGTGGATGGGAGGAGAAAGAGGGCTAGGAGTTTACAATGCATCATTTAATTGTAATAAGACTTTCTTTTTAGATTCAAGACACATTTTTCTTAAGAGAAGTCTCAGGTTTCCCATTGTTCCGGCTGTAATATACTCAGGACTGCTCAGTCAGGACTACAGCACATGGAACTACCTGCAGGATTGTTACCTACATCTTGGATTAAGCCAGTTTAAGCCACTAGTTTACCAATTCACTTAAATTTGTTCACTGTAGAATTAAAGTTCTGATAGTGTGGGCATATCCAATGACTGGCCAAAAAGTGAAAGATTGGTGTTTATTCTAGACTTAGGGAGAAGCCAGATGCTACTTTCTTGGAATTTAGAAAACTGGAAGCAATTCTGCAGCAGTCAGCATTTTAAAGATAATATATTGATTGTTTTTTTATAGTAGAAAGTACATTAACATGTCTTTGGATGATGCACAAAACTGAGGTCCTGACCACTCTTAATTATTAAGTCCGATGGCATTAGGGGTTCAAGCAAATTCTGGCCAAATTCCATCCATCGATTTTGGGGGTTGTGCTATGTTAATTGAGGGCAGAATCTGGCTTAATTTCAGATGGGATAATTTAATTCTGCCTAACTTAATTTCCCATGCTGCTTTTATACTGTCAGTATCATTTTATACTGTTTATACTAAAATTTGATTTATTCTGTTCCTTAAACAAGTCATGTTATCCATCATGGACTTTGTATTGACTCACAGTGTGCAGGCGGTGCTTGCACAGCCCACTTTCCAGAACCTTCTGGAGCGTTTGGTGCCCACAGTGCTCTTTCTTATTCACTTACGAAGGATCTTTTGAGGTGAAGCATCTCAGTCAAGGGGTGGACTTGGTGCATTGTCCACTTACTTCATCTTTACCCATCATGGAACAAAGAGCTGTGTCTCGTCTTTTCTGAGCAAGAGTGAAAATTACAATTCAGTTGTGTTCTTTCTCATCATGAGGCAATATTCAGCTGTTGATTGATCCAAGTAGTGGGACATTTTAAGAAAGTGTGAAGAGTGTGGGGCGAAGATGCCCAGTTTGTTGATGCCACCACGGCCCAACTTGCTATAGATTTAGGGACACATACAGTTTGCCAAAAGTTTACTAAGCAAGCTAGGGTGGAGAGAAAATCCAGGTTTTATTTATTTATTTATTTTAAAATAATATTTATTACTTTTATAGATTACAAAAAGGAAAAAAAAACAGAAAAAAGACAAAGGAGGAAAGAAAAAAGAAAAAAAATACAGTACAATATATGGACAATGCAAAACACAACCTAAACTCAAAACTAAACACTTTAAACTAAACTAAACAAACCCCACTCCCTAACCTTAACCCTAAATAAAACAAAACAAAAACAATTTAAAAACATACATCATCCCTTTTCCGTACTCTATCTTTCATTCCCTCGTTTCCTCGACCTCCTCTCACCTCCCTTTTTGTATTCCACTTCTATTAATTGTTTCAGCAAATCCTTTCCATCTTTCTCCATTTTCTATCATATTGTAAATAACGTATTTTTTAACCTTATTTTCCATTAAAACTAAAATACTTATATATGCTTAACTCCTTATAGCATTTCTGTTAAGCCCATAAAAAATCATTCCACCATTTTTCTATCACTCATTAGTTTTACCATATGTCTATATATAAACTTTAAATTTTCCAATCTTCTTCCACCATCTCCTCTCCCTGGTTTCGGATTCTGCCAGTCCTCTCCGTCAACTCCATAAAGTCCATCAACCTGGTGATCTTATGTCCGAGGCTCTTAACTCTTTTCCAAGTCCCTTCTGCAGGTCTTCTTCATTTTCTTTAATGCTAAAGAGCAAATCTCGGGGAAACTCCAACCTGTCAATCCTTTTCTTCCTTCTGAACAGATCAGCCAAATTTCCATAGTTGAAGCTACAGCCCATAAAGTATTTCAGGGCATATTTCAAGATTCCTCCAAATCCAAAGGCCCCCAAAACTTCAATCTCCTCCAGGCTCAAGTCCATGTCCCAAAAGTCAGTTAATCCCTGCATAGAGGGATCTTTCCAACTTTCCTTCTTTACTCCAAGCTGGGATCCATTCCTCAGAGTCTGACTTTTCCTAGATTCAATCATAAAAGGCCTCAACTTATAGTCCTCAATTTGCTTCTGTAAAGCCACGGATCTCGCTTGTATTACTTTATGTTCAACAACGGCAGCTTTCTCCTTCTCCTCCTTCTCCTCCACCATTTGTCCTGCCAAAATGGATTCCCGTACCAAGTCCTGAATTATTTCTGTGTTGGTATTCGCTTTTTGACTCAAATTAGTCACTTTCTGTTCCAAATTATCAACTTTAAAAGTCATGTCATCCATCTTCTTGTGAAGCTGTCCCAGCGAACAGCTTATCTTACATAAAACAGTCACAATGGCCTCTCCTGTCAACATTTTTAAATGGTCCAAGGTCAATCTCTGGTTCTCAGAATCCTTATCTGCAGCTGGAAATCCCCCAGTTACACTCCAGTAACAGTTTCAAAAGCTCCCTCTAGAGGGAAACAGTCTCCACTTGTATCAGTTCTTTCAGGCACAACTCAAGCATTAAAGATAAATTTTCAGTTACTTTTCCTCTTTTTTAAACGCAGGGGAGGACAATGGAAACAGTATCTTACTCTTATTTAGCCAGCTGTCAAATCCGTTCTGTCAAATGCACTCTCTCCAAACATCATCTGCCAGCCCGTTCCCAGGTTCAGAGCAGTGGTAATTTGATTTTTCACTCTCTCCTGCAGGCTCACTAGGTCCAAAATTTCCCCCTCTTCTCCTGCTTCCAAGGGGGGTTTTGTATTTTAAACCGATGGAAATTTAATCCTTTGCCAAAAGCTTTCAAAGACTTTAACTTGTAACGTCTTTGCTTCAGTCTATTTACAAAAACGGAAGGCGGACTTCCTGTTTATGATCTTCCCGCTTCAGTGCCAAATTAAGGTATTTAAAAATCCAATTTTCCGTTCTACTCACAGGTAGTTGTTTAAAATCCAATTGTCCACAGGAAAAAGTCAGCGCTCTCCGGCAACAGCAATGCGGCTTCACTCCATGAAAGAAGCAGTCGATTCAAAGCACCGCGCCACTCACCCCACGTCGCTCCGGATCCCCAAAACAGGGTTTCCCCGCGAGTAGGGGAGGCGCAAAAGGTGCCAGCCGAATCCCAGGTTCACAAGCTTCTCCCGCTTGTGATTTCAATGGGTCTCCACCTTCGCCATGGCAGTCAGACCCTGTTTTTCACGGAGCAAGTTCCTCCCGAACGGAGGAGCTCCGCCATTGCCGGAGGCGCCAACCTGGAAGTCCGAGAAAATCCAGGTTTTAAAGTTCTTCTCTCATGCCCTTCTCTAAAACTGCTAAGGTGCTGTAAAACCATAAGGTTTAGTAATTAAGGTGAGGGTCAAATATATAGTGATAGACAGGCAGATATTTAATGGACAGAGCAATCTGCAGGAGGGAGTTTGGATAAGATGTGGAGGTGACTCCTTGCCCAGCTCTGCCCAGCTGTGTGGAATCTACTGCCAGCATATGCTCCTGAAGTGGAGTGTTTCATATTGTTCCCCAGATAACAAGAAATGAATAACCAAATAGCAAATATAACCATATAGGCCAAATGCAATATAATAAGTTTTGATCCTAACTTCCATTTAGGGCTGTCAGTACCATAAAGTCACTTTCACAGTTCCTTGGACAGCTACTCCTGTTCCCTGCTGGTGAGTTTCACTATTTTTCAGTGGTAGAGGCTGCTCTATTTGTCCCTTCTTTTTCCTTTTCTCATTTGTCTTCCTGATTGCCTTCTCCACTCTTCTGCTTCCCCTTGCCTTCCTCCAAAATCACTCTTCTTCCTTCTGCTGCTCTCTTTTGTCTCTCTCCTCAACCTGATGTTCTTCACTCTTTTGCTTTCTCTTCTGCTTCTCCAACAACATACCTCTCATTCTCCTTCCATCTCTACACAGCTGGCATCCCAGGGCCCATAGGACTTGGATCAATCTCTTAGGGAGACCTCTTGGAATCCTTAAGACTCTGCTGTTTCAATTCTAGCTTTGAGTCAAAATCAGCCAGGCCTACTTTCCTGCATTTGAAGGTATTTCCCAGGGTCAATTCAGCGGCACTACAACTCTGCCTCCCACCCACAATGAGCAGGCATTACAGTTTGTTAGATTTTGGGAAGCTTTGAGATCACAAGGTGCACAGATCTTTCCCTTCCGATAGATGCCCCCAACCTCCATAAAGCCCAATAAGGAGGTGCCTAAGAAATCCCCAATGTGTGGGGATCTGAGCAAGCTTTCTAAGCTGGCCAAAACAAAGGCAGGTATGAAGGCTGTTCATCAGCATTGACTCCTGAAGCAAGACCTGGTCCTGCTGATCATGATTATTCTATCTAAGGCTAAACATGCTTTAGCTCCTGGCAGAACAAACATCCATATTAGAAAGGTTCCAGCAGAAGTTGTCAATAATTCCATGGGAACCACTTCTCTAGCAACAAGGGACGCTGGATAGTTTTGGTTTCATTGCTGTTGTCTTTCCTCAATCTTGGAAGTGGAATGAGAAATTGAAGAGAGGGTATTCAATGATGAAAACAGTTCATGCAACTTTCTTCTCAATGAAGGAGAGTGGGGGACTCATTCAAGTGGATAAGGGTTCAGTATCTATCTGTCTATCTATCTATCATCTATCTATCTATCATCTATCTATCATCTATCTATCTACAATTTTCAATTATAACAAAAAAGAAAACATTTCAGAAAACAATCAACAGTAATTCTGACATTTTGAATCTCAACTTCCCTCCCTCTCTTTCTGCAGTTCCTCATCTCTCCCTGCATATCCCAAATTGTCTCAGTCTATTCAGATAGATATATAGATAGATAGCAAAGAAACTGCAGGTTTTTCCAGTAGTCCTGCTAATTTCTTAATCTGTTTTCAATTTGTTTGTAAATATTCAACAAACCATTTTCATTTCTTAATAAAAAGTTTGTTATCATGATTTCTTATTCTTTCGGTAAGTTTCACCATTTCTGCATATTCCATTAATTTCTGCAGCTATTCTTCTCCAGGGCTATTTCTTCTTTCCTTGTGGGTCCAGTATAAATTCCCTTGTGAGATGGAAACATTGAGGAAAGCTCCCTCTCCCTCTGGCCCATGATCCTTCTGTTGTGTAATTTCTGGCCCTGGATCTCCAAGACATGTATTTCCACATAAGCATCAGATAAAATACTGCCCCTTTCTCAGATTTATATACATAGACAAGCATTTTTGATTCAAAGTTCTCTCAGTCAGACTCTTCATAGGCTCAGGGATCTTTATGAAGCATGCAATTCTAAGAATCACCCATCTCTGGGAATAGAACAGAGAATTTTTGATGATTTTCAATCAACCTGGCACATCACCAATTATTTCTGCTTAGCACATCTCTCGTGTGTGGATACCTTTCTGGATTCAACATATGCCTGAACCACAGGAGCACTCCAACGTTATTAAGAACCTACTGCCCACACTCATATGCAATATGCCCACATTCAGAAACTCCTGGGCCTTGTGCACCCTTGTTATGTCCCTATTGTGCCATCCATTCAAGATAAGGCTCTTCAGATTCTTCTTCTACTGCTCTTCCTTCTACAGGTTATCTATTCCATCCCATGTTGGATGGAGCATCTTTACCTTTTCAGATCCATTAGCATTCCTCTCCCCGTACTATGAAGTGTTACCATGCTAAAGTACTGAAGTTTTAGAGATATTAACCATTTATATCTCTTAGATTCACAGCAAAATCTTAACTGTTCAGGCTATCTCATGAATCACCACAAGGTTACTGCGGTGCAGACGTGGTAATCTTTCATGGGCTTACACTGCCAACTTTTAACCTTTCATTTATTGTTAAATTCCTGTGTGCGTACATGAGGACAGTTTAGCAGATTCCTCACAACAACGTTTCTGTACCTGATGCAGCTGAAATGAACAATTCTTTTTAAATTCATAAATCACACCTAATGGTCCTTTTTCCTTGACAAATTATGAAGCCCGAATGCACAGCAGGCACGTCTAGGAAATTAATCACTTTCACAGCTTTTGACGTGAATCCTTATTTCTGCTCAAATATTTAATTGTGCTTCTTTAAAAATGTTGTGAGGCCAGGATACATTTGTGCAGGACTTTCGCTGAAGCCATATGATTGAGCTATCTTTCCTAGGATGCCTTAGTTTAAAATTTGCAAGGGGGTGTGTGTGTGTCCATTTAAATATAATATGCACAAATGCATAAATAAATAAAGAAAAGCAGGATTTAAGCCGGTCCCATTTAGATACAGCTTCTTGCAAATTCTCTCAATAACCTCAGAGATTTGGGAGGTCACAAACAGGATAGGTAGCATGCCGGTTGGCAGTTCTCTTAATTGCTCCACTTTGCAGAGCTTTATTCTCTCAACTCCTTTAGTGTGACTGAGCCATCTGGCTGGGAAATGTTTTATTATTTCTTAGGGACTCCACTAACAATGCCATTTTTAAAAAAAGCTTCTGTGACTGTAAACTTGTTAAAATTGCAGCTAATGAGATACATTGCAGGTTTGCTGTTATATCCCTCCAAAAAATAAACCCAATAATATGGAATAAAACACAGGAAGGTTTTACTATTCATGATAGCTCACAAGTCCTGTTTAAAGGTAAGGGCATTCTTTGTCATATACCTATCTGAACTGTGATATCATCTGCAGGATATCCAATCCAGGAGCCTTCAACACGTGAAGTGAGGCAGCTGTGCACCAGGGAAGTGGCCTTCTTGGTGTTGGTACCCCGGTTGTAGAAGTCCCTCCCCTTATAGGTTCACCTAACACCTTCCTTATTTTCTTTATATATTTTTATTCTTTACTTATCTGTCATCAGACAAACAATTCCAGCATGGGGTACATCAAACATAAAATTAAATTAAAGTACATCAATTTCAGTTTCTTAAAAACACTTTAAAGACTTTTTCTCCTTACCAGTCTTTTACAGAACCTGTGATATTTTTGTTTTGAACCATTGCTTATGTGCTGTGTATTATTATTTTTTTAAGCTATCTGGTTTTTTTCTGCTCTCTGCTGGAAATCTTTAGGTCACAAGTTGCTATTTTATTATATGATTCTTTTATGTTGCTGTGTGTTAATATTTTGTGTTTGTGAGCCATCCAGAGGACAATGCAATTGAGTGGCCTTATGTAAGAGTAGTTGTTATTATTATTTAAAAGTCACTAGAAGCAGTTTCTTTACTTTGAGCTGTGTATAGATGGTAGTTTTTCAGAGATATGGCAATATAGAATCATTATAGTCTTTGGTCCACTGTGTTGTTTTGCTTTTGCTTTCTCAGTAACATATGTAGTCAAACAGGCTCACAGTTTTTGAATGCTATCAAAACCAGGAAGACCTGATTGAGGACAGACTTTATCACAACGTAAGAAATAATACTTATACTGCAGGCAATAATGGCACTATCATGTCATGTTTTGGGGGTATTATGTGTGCATAGCCTTAACTGGTATGGAATCTAAATGGTATGGAATCTAGTGGGCTAGTTACTGTGAATCAGTCAACTAAGGTAGATTGTGCTGCTCATCACTTTAAATCCTCCATCTGGAGGAAATTGTATTTTGTTCTGTTTTCCAATTCTTCAAAGCATCCAAAAGGAGGGGAGCTTTTGTTTCTGGAACCATTTTCCCTCAATAGGAAATACATGAAGCACAGGGCACACACATTCCACACAGACAAAAAATGAGATATAGGGTATACTCATAACAGAGTGCAATTTATGGAATTTACTTCTCCAGTGTATTGCATTACAGTGAGGCCAGCATCACTTGTGTAGGGTTGCCATACATCTGGAATTTCCCAGACATATCCAGAATACTGCAGTCGGCTGCAGTGTCTGGGTGGAAATCGGCTAAATGTCGACGGGGGGAGGGGCGGAGCTCAACAACTTTTCTGTCCAGATTTTCACTGTTTGAATTATGGCAACCCTGCACTTGTGATCTGTTAAGCTCAGTATGCCATATCAGCCATGTATGGTGGTTTATCAAATACTTCACTACACCACCTTCCTGGGACTGCAAAATCATGGGGATTGCTAACCATCTGCTGGTTGGGCATCCTGAGTGATGCAGACCTGAATTAGTTATAGTCATCCATTATGCTCTCTCTCTCAAGCCTCAGACTGCTTTCCATCTGCTGGCAAACACAAGGTTCTTTTTTGCAAGGAACCATGCCTTAGTAATTTCATCAGATTTTGAGACTATCCCAGGATAAGAGTACAAAGAAAATGGATAAATAACAACACAATTCATTAAAGAGTCAGACCTGTATCAGTTGTCATTAAAAACAGCATCGTGATATACTTCGCCTCTAGCATGCATGCTCAGTTGCAACCTGAACATGCAGGGTGCTCAGAAATGTTTAGTTATGGGTCCTGTGCTGTGCAAGATGCCATAAGGGGACACATGCTGTGGCAGCCCCATTAAAAATGTGCATGGTAGAATATTAGTGCTTGTTATAAATGATTTACCATTATTAGATTTCATTCCAGATTTTCCGTTGTCAATTCCTAATAGGGCTTTTAAATCATGGTGAGACTTCATTGCTTTTCCAATGATTTGCCTAGCATTTTATTGGAAGCAGTATGCAAATTCCATCGAGTAATCTAGAATATTTATCCTGTCTGCGTGTGGTACAATTTCCTTGTTTCTTAGGGCTCATATATATTTCAACCAAATGTGGCAAATCATATTGGAAAGGATGTCTTTCACTCTTTTCACACAAAAAAGTGCATTGATATAGGCATCAAAATCTTACTATATTCCACTTTATTTCAGTTGTAATTGTTTGTGCCAATTTGGAATTTTTTTTGCATGGTTTATTGCTGTTGGTCATAGCAACAGAGCGGTTGGCATAACTTGATAGAAAAAGAGACCTCCATTAGTCTTTATTTAAATAATGGGATCTGAAAGGCATGCATAAATACCCTGATCTCCTAATACTTAATGTAAAGACCAACACACGAATTCTGTGTTACCAGCAAAGTTTAATTATCACACATAAGAATGAATTGGGTTTCATATAAACAATAGTCTCTTCCTCCGAAAGTAAACTTATGATTCAGGAAACATTCAGATAACCAGTTAGCCATTTCTCACTGGGGTTGTGTCTTCTCAAATCCAAACTCTGTGAAATAAACAGAATTATAAGCAGAGAGAAACTTGCAGGAAATAAATAAAGGTAGAAAGGAATAAAACCCATTCATCCAGGAAGACCCCTTCCCGCTCCATAGGGAATAGTTGGCTCCCAATAAACTCTAGATTTTCAATGGTTGGGTAGCTCCTAAGCTCCAGTCTTTGCTTCTCTCAAGGGTCAGAAAGATGCAATAGGTGACTGAAGGAACAGAATCAGTTGAAGCTGCTGTGCACCAGCCCTTCTTATGATCCATATGTTTATTTTTTATTGTAAATATGTGTATATCACCTAACAGCTAAAGTTCCCTGGGTGGCTTTCAATCCATGAATCCTCTGCCCCACCCCAATCTACGCCTGTTCACTGAAGACTTCAGCAAAGCTGTGTATGCAGCTATACAGCTGTACCGTAAATATGAATAGATCAAAGGGCAGGGGCCAGCACTTGGTTAATAGTTCAATGAATGTCATAGATGGCGGGGCAGAGCAGAGCTTTTTACCACGATACCACCCTCCTTATTTGTGTTGATTGAACATGTGGCTCATAATGTATGAAGATGGATTTAATAACACATCCAACATCCCTCAAGATTTAGTTTCTCTTTGCATGATCCTCTCGTAATTAGCCATGCCCTTTGAAACGAAAGTTGATGTTGTGACTACGTTTGTCTCCAGAGGCGCATTTGATGAGATTTTGGTGGATTATCTCAATAAAACCCAAGTGCTTGCCTTTAAATGCTGAATTTATTCTAATAAACCTAATGGCATGTTCTTGGCAGTGATGGATGTTCTGTACACTAGACTGTAAAAGGCCAGGAAAAAAATCTCACTGTGTCATGGCAATATAAACATTTTCATTATATAATAAAATCCAACAGATGCTCTTCCCTTTCCAAAACCAATGTGTCTTGAGTTAGCAAAATTCAGCAAGCCACCTCCAAAATGTTTTTATGAAGATTTAAGTCTCCTTCATTGCATTTCTCTCTCTCTCTCTCTCTCTCTCTCTCTCTTGTTTCAGGATAAAACAGGTGTTCTATAAAAGAACTATCTTGTGCTTACAAAATCCTGTTTAGGATTCTACAACTATTGTTTGGCTTGACCATAAAACAGCACAGCTAAAGCAGACACAGCTGGTCATTAATAACTTACAAAAACTACACATCCATGAGGCCTCCACTGTCATCACTCTGTAATAATTTTACAGCATCAGTGCGATAAATGCTGCGTTATTACGCTTCCTCCCTCTGCCAGAGTTTTCTCCTTTGAGTTGGAGAAAGCACGTAGGCATGTTAGCAATCAAATTATTTCCAGCAGTAATATTATTATCAGATTTCATGCACAAAGGGCTACTGTAGAGGCCAGAGGCAATCTTTGGTTTGGGCTTCCTAAACAACTTTCCATTACAAGGCAGCTAGGGGAACAGACCCTCCAAGTGCCCCTTTTTTCCAGGGATGTCGCTGATTTAGAGAAGCCGTCCCAGTTTCTAATTTGATCTGGAATGTCCCACTTTTCCTTAGGATGCCCCTATTTTCATTGGAGGGTATGGAGCTACCCAACACCCAAGCCGTCTGAAGGCAATCCTGTATAGCGAAGTTTTTAAAATGTTTAGTGTTTTATTATGTTTTTATATATGTTGGAAGCTGCCCAGAGTGGTTGGGGCAACCCAGTAAGATGTGTGGAGTATAAATAGAAAAATTATTGTTATGGAATGGGATGTCCCTATTTTCATCAAATAAATGTTGGAGGGTATTGGGGGACCCTGCTAGCAGTCAGGTGCAAGAGTTTTAAGGGTGGGTGTATAAAGGGTGTGTGTGTGTGATGAGGGATGAAGAAGTGTGTGAATGAAGGGATATAGATGTGCATGTAGCACTGCCTTATATTCAAGCCAATTCAAATAGCCCAGTACCACCTCCTTTGAGTAGCAGTGGTTCTCTGAAGTCTCAGGCAATGGCATTACTACCTGAGATTCAGTAACCCACAATGCTAGAGCTAGATCTTGGGAACCTTATATATGTCAGGCATCTGCCACAGGGTTATATGTGCATGGAAAGTCACAGAAGGCAAGGGAGATGGGGCAGATGTGAGAAGTGGCTAATATTTGCAGCCTCACATGCTAACCCCCAAAACTTGTTCAATTTTCTCTGTTTTAACAATCATCCTCAGTGTTTTCATATATGCATATACATATACATGCACACGAAAATGCATGACTTGATTACTGAATAAAAGTTGCAGATATACAAGTTTGTCAAAGTTCCTTGTTCAGTCATTAACTTTTCCTCCACCCCCAGCTATGCCGCAGCTTACACTGCAAAGCAGCTTGATACGATTGCACATACGTGATTAGGTAACTTTGACAGATTTTCCCTAGACTGTTTGGTTTCATAATGCATTCTTATGGTCCTCATCATTTGCTGCAATGTACAGATGGTGAAAGCAGAAGTATTTCCAACAAACAAATCACAAGTGAGTGTCGATTGCTTAGCAAAGGTAGGCAATTAAGATGGCCCAAAAATATTGCAGCCCAAAATAACTTCAGCATCATTTTCCCCTGGTAACAAGCATATGGAGTCTAAGCTGGTATTACAGTGTGCATCGCTGTAGTCAGTTTTACCAAATGTATACTGAGCAGTAAAAGCAACCTTGGTACATTTAAGATATGCAATAGTGGTGGTACAAGACATTTTAGTACTTCATGGAGTAAAAAGTATTAGACTATATAGGCTCTCATCTTTAAAAACTCACTTCTTTATAAGTAATATATTGATTGTGTTTTTTAGCAAAATGCCATGCACCTTCTTCATTATTTAAAATCATGAAGAGCTGCAAGAACATGATGGCTTATTGAGGAGCAAGTCAGAGTATTGACCCACCTTCTGAGTACTGTCTATACTGATCATGAGCAGCTGTCCAGGATTTTAGACAGGATTTTCTCCCAGCCCTATCTGGAGATACCAGGGATTGAAACTGAGAAAAGAATTCAGCTAAGTTACAGTCCCTTAGTAGTGTATTAGTTGTGCAAGAAAAGGTCCAGGAAGCCAGTGTAGTTTTTGTGGCGGGTTGCACAACAGATCGTATGCCTTCCAAGATTTCAGCTTTGGATCCAGGACATGGGCGCAAGTCAAATTGCTGGGGATGGAAGCAGTGGAGAGAAGGAGCAGTGTTGGCCCAGTGCTACCAGGTCAGAACTCCAATTCTGGCTCAGGCTTGAGCCAGAGGTCGAAGTGGCAAAGAGGAAAAATGGCGGCCATTCTGCGCCTCTCCTCCTCTGGGCTCTGGCACATGAGGGGGCAGCGGAGGCCATAACTTCCTCAGCGCCAGCCTGGGGTGGGGGTGGGGAGCCGCTGTTGAACAGTTGAGGGCAGAGAGCACCCTGAGCCCCTTTGCTTCCTGTTCCCTCTGTGGTGGCGGCCACTCACGCCCCTGCTGTCCACGAGACCCACTCCTTTTCTGTGCACTGCCACCACTTTTTCGCTGAGTTCGCAGTTCCCCAGGGCCTTGTGTTCTGTGCACTCCAGCAGTGCTGGGGCTGGGCAAGGTGAAGCAGACGGCTGTCCTCGCTTCCTCACTCCACGATCCCATCCCATCAACGTTTCTCTGCTCCCCGCCATGCACTCTAATTGGAGGAGAGTCCAGCTTCTCCCAGCAGCCACTGAGGCCACCTTCTTTCATTGCAAAAAGAAGGACAGAAAGTTGCACTCCTCAGCGGCAGCTGCCCAAGGAAGGACACATGGATCCCAGGACATTCCGGAGTCCAATCGGAGAGCAGGATGACTTATTTAAATCCATGATGTTTCACTCAAACTGGCACAATTGCTTGATATGAGATTGTTATAGCCCTAATGCTTCCTGTTGCTCAACCTGTTGCACAACAAGCTTCCTCTCGTTCAACTGTTGCACTGGATTTCATATCATGCAACCATTATTCTTGTCCTTACACTAACACAACAGTGCTAGTGCTGGTGGTCAGAGAATGCTTAATCTGGTCCTGGGTATGTTTTGCATGCCATGTGTGTGCCCTACTACTGGGAAGGGGAGCCATATCCAAAGAAAAGTAGTTTAGAAAGAGTCCTTCAAAAAGATAATTTCCATTTGGCCCAAGTATATCAACACAAGCTGCCTTCCTAATGACGCACAGTACTTTTGCAATGCAATGCATGGTAATCACTAACTGTACTATTTGAAAGAGAAAGGTAATGTACAGGATCAAAACAATGATTTTGGAGCCTACTGTGAACCCATTATATTGAGATAATGACCCTGCCATTCAACAGTAACAGAAATGAAACTGTGATTATGCTCTTATGGACAATGTTATCCTATGCATATGGACTGGGAAAGTAGTGATGATAAATATGAATATATTAGACTAGATCAAGTGTGCAAAAAATGAACAAAGGATGGAATTTCAGATGAAAGATCTGGTGCGCAAACACTTTAGTTAACAAGGTAAGAATTAATTATATCAGGAATAGCTAGATCACAAAATATGTGTACTTTGTTTCTGAAACATTAAAGCATCAGTGCTAAATAATGACTTTAGTTAGTGAGAGAACCATTTATAATCCTTATTAAAGCTTTAAGAAACACTCAAAAGTTTAGTAATCAGTACCCATGTTATCCTCTTATTCCCAGTTTAAAGGGGGGAAGAAATGTCACAGATGCAATGTCTTGGAAGATTCAACAATCCCCTTTATTTTTTTTGTATGATTCTATTTTTAATGTCCAGATTGTGTCCATTCACTTATTTGCACAGAGGTTGTCTGCTTTGTCTGCCTTGTATAAACTGCTGAAAAGCATATCAGAAGAACATAGCAGAAAATATGCAAGTAAACAAACCATTGCAATTGTGTTACCTTTTATTAGATCCTGTAATAGAGTTTCCAGATCCTGAGTGGGATCCAAAGGTCACTCTCTGCTAGCAGAATTCCTGCACAAGGCTGTGGAGAGACTGACCAGATGTTACATTGAGAAGCCAAGTTTCAAGTGGGAGATAACTTTTCTTTATAGGTGTGTGGGTGGGTGTGAAAGAGAGAGGGGGGGAAGCCTTAGCTACCTCCCCAGCCTGTGCTGGTAAGCAAGGACGATATCATTGCTTATCCATTGTTTAGTATTAAAGAAGGTTGACAAAAATCATAAATAAGTTACTCTTTTGCCATTTGAGAGTTTGCTTCACGAGCCTGTTGCTGTTCTGACATATCTCAGCAAGGTCAGCAAGTGGGTTGCATATCTCCCTAGGCATTTTATCTCACTTCAGAAAGGACACAGACCATAAATCATCCTGAAAACCTTGCCTTCTCATTTTTCCCTTTAGGGTGCTTTTCTGCCAACTGCCCTGACATTTGTATAATAACCAAGCATTTATTTATTTTTTGGAAGTGATCCCTGGAGTGTTAGTCTTCCTTCAACTCAGGGTCATGGCAGAAAAAAAAGGCAAAGGAAAGAGAAAGTACTGGTTTTATTTATTTATTTATATTTTTGCATATGCAGATGTGGTTCAGACAGTGAACGGTTATGCAGGGGACATAAATATTCTACCAAGAGTGAGGTCAATAGGAGATGAATCTGCTCAAACTCCTTCAATTAAGTTGTCGCTGTGGCTCAAGTGGTTATTTTTTGCAGGATATATTTTCATAACTCTAAAATTATAGTTATCTAAATAAGCTAACAGCAGAATGAACTGTCCACTCCAGTGCAAAGCGTAATGTAGGTTTTTGCTTCAGAAGCAGAGACTCTGCTTCATACTTTATTTTTTCCAGTGTGCACGTTCTAGTTCAAAGTAAAGAGCCAAGAATGATATTCATCACATAGACATTATTTTGTTCCTTCTCTTTCATTAACAGAAACCCTCAGAGACAGGAAAGGAGAGAAGTTTTACCCACAATCCATCTTCTCATTGAACTGATAATTCCTCCTTACAACACCGAAGCTGGTGGGTTCGCGACACTTTCTCCAAACCACCTGGCCTCCTTCTCCCTCGTCACTTTCTCATCTTGCCGTGATGACATTATCTGTTCTACTGCCCAGTCAAAAAAATAAACCCAAAATGAGACAGAATGGAGAACAACAGAGGAGCGAAACTGCATCACAGCACTGCTATACCTTCAAACACATTATCTCTGGCCTCTTCTTAAAGGACAAGTGAAGGAGTGGTGCAACGGGAGCATCTCTCTCTCTCTCTCTCTCTCTCTCTCACACACACACACACACACACACACACACAGCCCATTCTGGCCCTTAGAGTGAGTAGGCTGCTGTTTCCTCTGCAGTAAGTCAGTGACAGGGGATGTGTGGCCCTCCAGATGTTGATCGACTACAACTCATCCCAGACTGCTGGCCGCCATGCTGGCTGGGGCTGATGGGAGTTGGAGTCCAAATAATCTGGTGAGCCATCAATTCCCCATACCTACAGTAAATTAATGTGGAAGGCAACAGGGGGCACTGCTGAATATCAGTCTTTTCCTAGAATGTAGTATTTTCTCCATAAACCAGCTAACGACAAGTTTGCAAAATAAAGTGTGAACATCAGCACCCATGGTCTTCCACAGCAGATAGATGAAAACATCCATGCATTTTATCACCACTGCCAGTTGATATGTACATTTGCATCACAAAAATTTAAGAAGCATACAAAAGAGAAAGAAAAAAGGGAAGGTTCAAGAATTCACAAAAGTTCATTATTTTAATGCAAATATGTTCATTATTTTATTATATTTAAGAGTGGCCATTTTGTATAATCTTGTTCAAAAAGGAAATATGAATACAATTATTCTGGGTAACCTCAGAACCGGACATCATTAAAAGGTCACCATTCCACCTCATTGCTAAAGTATTGACATGTTTAATGACAAAATGCCCCCAATTTTTATTGCTTGAGCTGTCTCATACTGAAATGTAGGAAAATATTCTGTGGCCTGCTGCCCAAGTCCTTCATGCAACAAAAAGAATTAAAATAAAAATTAGATGTAATGAAGTCTTGTGAATGAACTTTGAGGTTGTATATTAAATTTTAATTACTTTTTTCCTGAAATGTAGCCAAATAATTCAGAATTAATGTTGCAGTGAGGTATCACTTACCTTAACCTCACCCAAGGGGGCAATTGGAATATGTATGAAATGTTACCAACATGGTTAACGTACACCTTTTGTCATCTTGATTATTTCTTTGTATTTTCATAGACAGATGTTCTCTGTATCTTGAGAGGTAACATTTTTGTAAAATAAGAATAATCATTTTTGCAATTATCATACATCAGCCAAATTAACAGTGAAATCTTATGCATGTCTACCTAGAAGTAATTTCCATTGTGGTCAGTGAAATCCCAGACTGTGATGAGACTGAACCAACTTTTCTTTTAAATACATACTTTTGTATAAAAGCTTTTAAAACTTTATATCAGTATTAAAGAGCTAATTGTGTACTCTTTGCTTCCACACCTATGGCATAATAAAGTAACTGGAATGGAGCCCCTAAAATATTCAAAAGTGATTTGTAAGTGGGCAGGAAGTGTTAGTTTTCCTGAGGATATATTAGACTTTTGTGAAGCTGCAAATACATGAAAATAAATATTTTGGTAGCCATATTAGTAGTTCCTTTATATGTTTGTGTTATTTTGTTCACTCTGTCTTGTAAACCTGCTGTGCAGTTAGGCTGAAAAATGTGCATCTACTAATTTATAACATCTGTCAAGATATTGTGTTTCTTCTTTTTTTTCTTTCCTTCTCAACTAAGTGTTTGTTCTAAAGGTGCCTTTCCACTCCTGGAAAGAGTCTTCCATTCACAAAAAGGCAGGTTTCAGATCCAAAGCCCTGCCAAGCTCTCAATGGACTTGATCCTCAGACCCTTCCACTACAACAGCTTGTGGCAGGCATAGCAAAAAAGAAAGAAGAATCGGCCACATCTTCCAGCCACGTCAGTCCCACAGTAGGCTTGCCCATCGATGAATGATGTTCTGCAACTTCTTGGGAACTGCTCTAGAACCTTCCTCGTAGTACTATGTCAACAAAGTGTTTGCAGAATGGCACCAATAGTTATTTTTGTTCCAGACTATGTTCTTCAGATCCAAACCTGTAGCTTGGATCCAAAGCTATATTTCTCAGATGTCAAAGCCAACCTCCAGTTGTAGTCTTTAGGCAATGGGAGTCCCCCTTTTTAACATTCCAGTACCTCAAGACCTGGTCCTAACTGTTCAAATTGTCTATTTTCTTTGCTCAGTCAGTAGAGCATGAGACTCTTAATCTCAGAGCCATGGGTTCAAGCCTCATGTTGGGCAAAAGATCCCTGCATTGTGGGTGGGTGGGGGTGGACTAGATCACGCTCATAGTTCTTCCAACTCCATGATTCTATGAATGGGCATAGATCTTCCAAGGATAAATCCCATTCACCTCTTGTTGTGGCTGATGTGCTCAAAAATATACATCCTGTAAGGAAACTATTAAAGCACAAACTGTTCTAGGGGATGGAGCACTGAAGATGGGGAAGAAATTGTCTTTCTTGTTTTCCCAGTTTAAGTAAACCTTGTAAGCTCTTATTTGGAATGACAGAAAAGCAGTCAATGTTGGAAGATTATTTTCTTTAAAATTGTTAGAAGCAACCACAATAACAAAAGTTTTAAAAATAAAGGATGTTGTGTGGAACCTTTGCTATTATAGAGGCCATGGGCATTATCTAATCAAGAGTCTTAATGTGGGGGTGGGGAAGAGAAACAGTCTTCAGACTTATTTTAGGGTTCAAAGATCTGTCAAAGATCACTTTATTGAAAAGCAATATATTGCTTGAGAGAAAAATTCAACAGAGTGTCTCACTGCTAGGCTGATTGCCCTGATCAAACAGGTTTCACGCAAGTTATAGTGCTGCATGGTCCGTTTAAACAGCTATAGATAAGGAATTTAGTCAGGCTGTTACTCAGCTTATCATCTTCAACTAACCTTGTGGTTTTCTTCCTTCAGTTACATTCCAAGAATTTGCTTGCAATAACAAGTTCCAGCAACATCTCTTTTCCTTTGCTTGCTCAGGCACAGTGAGCCTGCCACTAGTGCCTTGCATACATGATAAAGAAACAGAGGGCTACATTCTTGGATCAAATCAGGCCACAACTTTATTGATCACAAGTGTAAGTACATTTGGCTCAGGCATTGCGTGATTTCCCGTTCAGTCAGCTTACCTGCTGCCTGCTGATCAGATGATCAATTCTGGGATAGGAGTACCCTATGACTTACATCAAGTAGGAACAGCTCATCAGAATTGGGACTTGTGGGTGTGCTACAGCCCTTAGCCCCCATCCAGGCTTGTGGATGAAAACACCTCCCCTAGGATTCCTTTAATCAATGGGATAACCCAATTTTCTGGAAGGGGAAGGCAAAGCCATGCAACTCCCCACTTCCAGTAAATTACTATGGATCGTACCCAGTGCCTTAACCACCAGAGTTGTGACAATTGCTGTGAAGGAGGCAGAAACCTCCAGACCAGCCTTTTTGCCTAGAAATAAAATTCCTTCCTGGCCCTGAATACAGCAAATGATAATTCCTTTGTAAAGTCTTAGTGAAACAACAACCTATGGATATAAGGGTGTGGGGGCAGGAGACCAAAAGCTCACTGTAGCTCAGGGCATGGAGGCGGGTCCTTTTTATGCCAGGAGAGTGGACCCAAGTTTCCTGTTGGTCTCACCCTCCTGGTGACACCTCCTAGTGCCCACCTGTGATTGGTCAATATCACAGCTGGCCAATTTAAATTCCTACAGCTGGAGGGAGCACAACAGCTCCATGTGGCCATTAGAAAAAAATCCAAAGAGGCCTAGCAGTGGCAGCAAGCCACATGGCACCGCAGCTGCCACCCACAATCTGGTGAATGGAACTTGTCTTGTATGCATTCAGTTCCCCTCAATTCCATTCATCATGTGTCAGGGACTTTAAGCAGAAAGATTTGAGGCTTGGGTTTTTAGGCTTGGGATCTTTTAAAAAAGGTAAAGGACATTTAAGTCCAGCCGTGAACGACTCTGGGGTTGCGCGTCGAGGTCCCCAAGACACCCCCCCAAAGAAAAACACAATTGACACTTAATTTTTGTTTAAGGTTTTTGGCATAATTTTGACCACAACTTTATTCAAATTACAGCAATGTGAGTGGTTGCTTAGGCATTGGTAGCACTAACTGACCCCGCACGGGGACAGCTCTGACATTCGCACCCCCACCCCCGCGAAGTCAGCAAGGGTAAGTCACCTGGGGAGAGAGACGGGACTGGGAACCATGCCTCACCTCTCCCCAGCATGCTCCCAGGGGCTTGCATGGCCCTAGCCCCTTGCCAGGGGATTTCGGACAAAAGCATGAGGAGCCCCTGGGTTCCTTTAACGGAAAACACTTGAAGCAGCAGCAGCAGCAGCAGCATTTTGGAGGGGCAGGCACAGCCGAATCCATACCCCTCCACCAACCAATTCCAAGACCAATGCCTAACCACAAACCTTACAAGTTGTGACGATTTGCTACGCAGTAGGCAAAAACCAAGTGGCACACACTAATCAGCCAAATGGACAAAATTCCTACCAGGCCCCTGCCCCAAAGCAGATGACCCCATGACAGGCATAGCAAGGTCAAGCAAACAGCCTAAAATTAGGGAAGGGAGGGCGGGTGATCCGAAGTAAACAGCGAAAGAGGAAGTTCCTCGCTGCGAGCATTGTATTTAACAAATAGGGCTGTCAATCAACAAATGGTCACATCTAGATTTCCCCAGTAACAGCCCGCCCCTGTTTAAAGGATGGCCAAACCATTTGCCTAGTAACAGTGAGGTGTCTTGTCAGCCCCGCCCGCAACCCGTGCTCTCCATGAGGGAGAACATACTTTGCGGCGCTCATCTCGCTTTACTGGCCGAGGGAGCTGACGTTTGTCCATAGACAGATTTTCCGGGTCATGTGGCCAGCATGACTAAGCTGCTTCTGGTGAAACCAGAGCAGCACACGGAAACAGATCTTTTACTCCTATACTATCCTGATGACACAACCACCTTGCTCACAGCAGTCCAGCACTAATGAAGTTACTAGCTGGAGGAACAATCACAGCACCACAAATGAATTTACCAGTTAATCTCTGAACATGGTGTAAGGTGATAGTTTTGACCATGGTCCAAGTACATTTAAATAAACCTACCACAATCTGAAATCAACTATTACTTAGAGTATACCAATTGAAATTAATGGGCCTAAGTTGGTCATGCCTATTCATTCCAATGGGCTTACATTGAGAATAACTAACAATGGATAAAACCCCAAGCTTTTTTGAAAGGTTATTTCTAAGGAATGCTTTCCCTAAGGCAGCCTGCCAACCAATTCTTTTTCAGTGTTTGCAAAGCTGATGTGTTAATTTTGCTTGGTTTTTAGGTTGGATAGCTATGGCTGCAACCCTATACATACTTACCTGTTCTCAATAGGAATTACTTCTGAGTAGACATGTCTGATATTGCAGCATTGACATTTTAATTTTTAATCCTTTACTGTTTTGACTTTGCACTGCAATTTAAAAAGTTTTTTATGATTGCTGTTTTTATGATTAGTTTTTATGCACTCTAGTGACAGGGAGGTAGCCGTGTTGGTCTGCCGTAGTCGAAACAAAATAAAAAATTAAAAAAGATTCCTACCAGTAACACCTTAGAGACCAGCTAAGTTTGTTATTGGTATGAGCTTTCGTGTGCATGCACAGGTCAGCTTCCTTGAAAGCCAGGAAACAGAAAAAATTAAGTATGATCTCAGCTTTCCGATTGTCGTATGAGTGGTAGGAAAACAGCAAGAGAAATATGTGGGACAGGAAACAGAAATGTTTGGAACTATTGCACAGGTACACCTTTGATGAGAGAGAGAGAGAGAGATGTCCCCACATAGCCTAAATGACTCCACAAGCCTCTCCTTTAATGCAAGTCAATAAGGTATCTCTGAAACAAGAAGGAATCTGTGAGAAGTCAGAAAGGGAAGGATAGGGAAGACTGTCAGTGTATGTGAATCAGAGAAGCATGTGACAGCCTTCAAAGTGGTGGGATGTGAAATGACAGAAGACTGACGTGTTGCCTAGTTACCTTGATGCATTAGCAGTTGCTGTCAGTAAAAATGCATTATACCAAGAGAATTATACAATTAGAGTAGCAGGCGCAAGCAAAGAAGCTTACACAATCTTGCCCTCTAGTAGCATCCAAAGGAAAACATCATTCTCTCAGCACTTAACAGCTGTTTTTGGAGGGGTGATAACTCCAAGTTATGTACTGCCTCAGTTTATTTTACATTTTGTTCTACAATGTTAGATTTTATGTTAGTCTTTTATTGCAAGCCAACATTCCCAGCTTTCATCTTCGGCTCGCTTCTGCAGATATTGTCATTTCAGTAGTGCAAAGCATTTAGCGACATTTGCTTCCAAGTGGCATAAACCCCAGAAATGATATGTTATATGAATCATATATTTTAAATGGATCAATGAATTCCCTTCATCTCAGTTTAGAAGAGGAACTGGAACCCACCCTTCTTATTTCCACCTTGGTGCCTAGAACACTAAATTTACAACACTAAAAAGTGCCTGGGTCCCTGGGAAATTTTGTTTTCCCTGGGTGCCCCTGTTAGTGCAAAAACTCAGGTTCCCTGGAACCTATATGTCCAAGAATGCTTTGTGCCTATGGTACTGTCCTTGCAACTATTCCAGGCACCAGACAAGGAAGAAGGGGGTGTCCCAGTACAGATTATTATCTGAAGTGGAAATTAATGTGAAACACATTGTTTCCGGTAATGGCTCTTTTGCATCTGCAAATAGCTGCTTGAGACGATACCCCAACACAAAAAAGAATGTGCTTAAATGTATCTGTTAAATATATCTCCCCTTAACATTAACTCCCATTAATACTGATAGGCGGTTTCTATCTAAGAAATCTCCACAGGCTGTCTTTCAGTTTAACTCCTGAAGGAAGGCCTTTAAGAAAGCATTGGCTAAAATTCAGTGGACTGCTCTGAGAATAAAATCTATTTTCAGCATCTTGAGACATGTTATGTGGGTTTATTTTAGAAGTGTGGATGCTTTCTGGTTTTTGCATTTCTTGCTTGAAACTGTGATCATAGGACAATAGGCCTTCTACTGAGTCAAGCCATTACTCTATCTGGCTTGGTGTTGGCTGTTTGGCAGGAGGGTTTTATTCAGGGACATTCCCAGCCCTTTCTGGAGATGCTGGGAATTGAACCTGGAACCTTCTGCATGCAAGGCAGAGGCTCGGCCACCAAGCTACCTCCCTTTCCCAACTCAAATACAGTGGTACCTCGGGTTAAGAACTTAATTCGTTCTGGAGGTCCATTCTTAACCTGAAACTGTTCTGAACCTGAAGCACCACTTTAGCTAATGGGGCCTCCCGCTGCCGCCGCACCACCGGAGCACAATTTCTGTTCTCATCCTGAAGCAAAGTTCTTAACCCGAGGTACTGTTTCTGGGTTAGCAGAGTTGTAACCTGAAGCGTCTGTAACCCAAGGTATCACTGTATTGACTTTCCATGTGTGAATCAGGTCTACTCCTTATGACTTTGTCCACATACCCCATCCCATTTTAGCGTGGTGAGAGAAAACCATCCGATGGTGCTATTCGCATTACCCTAGCAATTCTTTGATATTTTGCTGCAGTTCCCATTTACATATAATAATTAGTATTGTTAACTTTGATTAGGCTGTGCAGCTGCTGCCGCAAATGAAAGCGATTCAGTTTTATTTTCCTTTTTTTAAACTCTCATTTTCTAAGGACAAGTTATTGCCCATGACTGAAACATTGTTTACTTCAGAACCTGAACCCGAGCGGCTGTCGTGCACCTTCAGCTGTATCTTTGAGGGCACATCTAGTTTCTGCCATCTGTTCTTTTCATGTGGTCATAAAAGATCATTTGTGAAATTTTCTTTCCTTTATGGCCTCCCAATGAATGAGTTTCTAATAGCACTCGCTGTGAAAGTCTCCTGCTTTATGGGAATCAAAGTGCACATCTTCACTCAGCTGTTTGGGAAAGGTGTAAGACACAAAAATCTCTCTTCATTCATCATTTTAATGATTAATATCAAATAACGACCATAACATTTAATAATTTCTTAGATGTAGTAGTAATAACAGAAGTAATAAATAAATAAATCCCTAAGTAAAATGTGCAAGAGATGCTTAAACTCAGTTTTGATTTTTACTGTCAACCAATATATTATGTTTTATTATATTTTTGTATATGCTGGAAGCTGCCCTGAGTGGCTGGAGCAACCCAGTCAGATGGGCGAAGTACAAATAAAACAACAACAGCATATTGACATAAAAACAGAAATTCCAATGACTCCATCCATCTACGCTTTCAGCAATTTCTCATCTTCAGCAGGCTGTTTACACTACTAAGGCATATATTCTGGACGCAAATTATAGTCTCCTGCAAACCAGTAGTTTAATTATTTGGGGTGATTTGAAGGCCAGTCTGTGGCAAAACTGAAATACGAAATCCTCATCTTAAAAAAATGATACTAGCAATTGATGTCTCCCTTCTCTCTCTATGGTCAGAAACAGCATGTCACTAAAGGCCAGAGGCTTGGAACTACAGGATTGCTGTTGCTCTCACGTTCTGCTTGCAGGCTTCTCCCGGTTGGCCACTATGAGAACAGTTTGTTGGAATAGAGAGGCTTTGGCTTTATCTTGCAGAACTCTTGCCCAGGCAGGCGCATTATGTGACCCATGAGAGCAGCAAAATAACCAGACTGTAGAAGGGTGGTGGGATAAAATCAAGCCAAATCTTATTGGCAGCAGCAGTCATGGTAAGGGTTGGCATGGCATTGTGTCCGGGATCAGTTCATCATTCCACAAGTCCCATGTTGATGGAATGGATCTATAGGGTTTGGACCGCTGCAAACCTGTTCCATGGGAGTCGGCCAGTGTTGAACCTTGCCGTGGTGCAAGCCAAGCAAGCAAGGTCTCACTGGACAACTAGGGTGCAGCTTCCAACCAGGCAGATACCCCTACCCAAGCTTGGGGTTCTGTGGTCAATCCTTCCCTCAGACCCCTATTGAGGGGGCCCCATACCATGTATATCCTGTCCGATGCCATTTCCACCCTCATACAAACAGTGCTCTTCTGCCTAATAAAGAAAAGCCATAATTTCACTAAGGGGAAAGGTGGAGGGGGGACCAACCAATTGCCAATCAGGTTGAGAGAGAAGAATTATTTTCGATCCTGTCGACCAGCGACCCAAAAATGCTCAGTGAAAGCTCTAACTCGAGGGTGGGCAGGCAGGAAGCTCTTAGGGCAAAATGGCACTCAGCTCCAGGGGAAGCAGAAGAGTTTGGATTTGATATCCCACTTTGTCACTACTCGAAAGAGTCTCAAAGCAGCTAACAATCTCCTTTTCCCTTCCTCCCCCGCAACAAACACTCTGTGAGGTGAGTGGGGCTAAGAGACTTCAGAGAAGTGTGACTAGCCCAAGGTCACCCAGCAGCTGCATGTGGAGGAGCAGGGATGCGAACCCGGTTCACCAGATTACGAGTCCACCGCTCTTAACCACTACACCACGCTGGATCTCATGGTGCAAGGGCTCATGGAACAACTTTTCCCCATGGGCCCATGCAGACAGGATATGGGCAGATTGCCCAGTAATTTGCTGCAATCTATGGGCCACAGCACCACAAGGCAGCCTATGTTTATTGGGCATGAAATGAGGCTTCTCAGGGCCTGCCAAAGACATTTTGAAACCTGAGACATATCCCCAAATGGTGCCCTGCTCCCTGCCAAGGGAGATGGGGGCAGGGACTCTCAACATCAGGGAACTCTCAACAAGGGGGGGAGTAAAATTGACATCAGGCTCTACTGGTCAGGTGGATCCTGCCACCTGAAGTGGTCACTTCATCTGCCTCATGGGTGGGCCGGCCCTGACTCTTCTTATGACAATAAGCCATGTTGCTATCACTTGTAATGTCTTTGTGTGTGTTGGCAATGAATTCTGCTGTTCTGTACTGATCACTACTATGGCAGATCATGGTCACATACAAATAATTTTGTAGCCTAGCCTAGACATGTTTGTTTCCCTGCCATACTAGTTCTCTCATGTGCAGTCCCTCCAATCCCATGATAGGGCAGTGTCCAAACATAATACACCCTTGCACCCATTCCTGATTGAAGAAATATTTTGCCATGCGACCTGCTGCTTGTGTAGAATGACGTAAAACTCTCAGCTAAAGGGACTGTGCCTGCAATTTAGAGTACGTGCTGATGCACACATGGATTTCTGGCATAAGGGAACTTCTGTAGTCACTTCAGTGCCTTTGTGTCAACAGAGTTCTTGTTTCTATTGAAGTGAATGGGAAAGGGTTTGCAAGAACTTGGGTGACTTGGACATCCTTCCAGGAGTCATGGAGTTGCAGCCAAACTCTCATATCTCATGCATATTCCTAGCAAGCAAACTTTACAAGCAAAACACCTTTTCAGTGGTTCCTTATCTACTTAAAAAAAAAATGGACTTTAGAAATTACTAGATTTTAAGTTTTGCCTTAAAATTGCATGAACCATTAAAAATGGAATGCCTCTAATGATGTTTTAATAAAAATATAGAAACTTTAAAATTAATTTCAAATGGAAAAAAGCTAACTCTTTTTTCCTGTTAGGGTGCACACTTCCTTTTAACAGTTATCATTTTAGAAACATTTGCAGTTTATATGACTAATCAAGTCACTGTACAGCTGTGCTAATAGCACAGGAAGCACAGTAATTGAATACTGATAGCAATAGTTTTCCATAAAAGAAAAAAAAAACTTATATAAGGATAATATTTTAAAATAGTAATTTATATGCAAATATGTAATAAAAAGACTTGCTTCCATCTAAGAATCATGGATTATGTTCGTTCAAGCAAAGCACATGTAATAATAACAGAGCACATTTGTGATAGGTTCTGTGATGGATTTAATTTGAGAAGTGGAGAAGTTTAAGAGGCAAGCACCAATTGGCCAGCTTTTAAAGCAATTAAATGCAAGATGAGTCTGAGAAAATTTTGATCTTGGGCCTTTTTTAGATATCTGAAATATCACAAAACTCACACATCATCTGAAACTGAGCACACCACACACCATACATTTAAAGCACATTTAAAACAAACACACCATGGATCCTGGGAATGGTAATTTGTTAAGGGTAACTGGAAATTGCAGTTCTGTGCGGGGTAAACTACAGTTCTTGGGATTCGGGTGAAGGGGGCAATGCTTTAAATGTATGGTGCGTATGCAGCCAAGAGAAGGCTGTTTGGTTGCTATGTGGATCCTGCTCAAAATAGGGTGCCTTTGACAAACTATCCTCATTTCAGTAAACCCTGAGAGAGATTTTCACAACCACACAGCATCCCTTTTGCAGCAGCTTCCAGGAATGCAAAGTAAGGGCCTGGAGGTTAACAATGCATTGTATCCAATAGTATCTTTGGACTGTTGGAAAGCACTTCCATTTCCATAAGGCAGGGCTTATGATTTTTGCTTATTTTCCCCAACATTCTGTTCTCCTCTGCTTCGTATCCTATACTATCCTGGAGGATCCCCCACAAGCAGCTTTTCAGAGAGCATGGGGATGGTGAAAATCAGATGCCCTGCTTTACAAGAGCATAGGAGCTAGTACCCAAGGTGTCTGGTTGTGCTGGTGCAGTAGGAGTACCATGGCGTTTCTTCTTTCTTTGGGGGGGCGGAGCGCAGACAGAAGAAATGCCATGGTAGTAGTAGTAGTAGTAGTAGTATTAATAATAATAATAATAATAATAATAATAATTTATTTATATCCCGCCCCCACCAGCTGAAGCCGGGCTCAGAGCAGCTAACAGCAATAAAAGTAAGACAGCATTCTAAAATCAGTATTCTAAAATCAATTCAAAATCAAATGGCAACCACTGGGCCAGAGTTCTATGAGGATCACCAAAGGAGGGGGTCAGACTGTGCCTTGGCCAAAGGCCTGGTGGAACAGCTCTGACTTGCAGGCCCTGCAGAAAGATGTCAAGTCCCGCAGGGCCCTAGTCTCTTGTGACAGAGCGCTCCACCAGATCGGGGCCACAGCCGAAAAAGCCCTGGCTCTGGTTGAGCCAGCCTAACCTCTCTGTGGCCCGGGACCTTCAAGGTGTTTTTGTGTGAAGACCGTAAGGTCCTCTGTGGGACATACCAGGAGAGGCGGTCCCATAGGTACGAGGGTCCTAGGTCGTATAGGGCTTTAAAAGTTAAAACCAGCACCTTAAACCTGATCCTGTACTCCACCAGGAGCC